AGAAATGCAGGTCAGGGGAGCAGGCAGGACTGGGGAAAACCAAGGAGATAGGATCTGTGCCTTATTTGTCTTAGCACTACAGCTAGGGCACTAACACCCCTCCCCACTGTAGGCCTTCCTTGCTTACTCTCGGTGTAAGGACCGGACCCTGCCTTTCTCTCTCTGTGGTCTGATCTGGTGGGAATTTTGTGTTGTCTATTGAATAATGCATCCCTTAGTAGCACTGTTCCATCGTTAAAATGAGGAACTGCAGGCATAACAGCTTGACTCTCTCAAATTGCTGGGTCAGGAACTGGAAGGCATTGGTAGCTTTTGAGAATGCAGAGGGAGAACTTTCGCCCAGATTCATTACTCTCCAAACACTCACTTTGTAAAATTCCTTTCCCTGGAGTGGGCTGGGTGGGGACCCTGCTCTCTGTGGACAATAGGACCAGATCTGCTGAGTTGGGAACATGAAGGATGGTTCCAGTGACCTTTGCAGACCCAGAAGCAGACAGAGGATTGGGACTCAACTCGGAGCTGGGGGAGGAGGCATAGTTAACTGCTGCCCTACCCTGGACACTTGGGACCCTTCCCCTGCACCCTGGAGGCTGACAAGGGAAGGGGGCTGGAGCCCTGCTTTCTGTGCCTCTGTCTGGCTCAGGCACTTGGGCTACAGAGGGGAGGAACATGTAGAGCTTCCTGGGGACAGTGTCACCTCTTTGTTTAGCAGGAAAACAAAGCATAAGAAGGGTGAGCAGCTCCAGAAGCCAGCTCTCCTTGCTGGTGACAGCCTGTGGGTCATCATAGGATGACAGTTTGGACCAACTATAGAGGACTCGGTGTTCAGGCAGTTAAAGTCAGATAACCCCCTTGGGATCAGTGTTCAATAATGTTTCAGCCAGAAAGGATACTGGCCTGGTGTTCTGATGGGTCCTGTGGCTCACACTTAACCCTTTAGTCTTGGGGTCATAAAAGGTGGCAATGTTGTGGGCACAGCCACAATAGGGCAGAGCAGGGCAGGGCAGGGCAGGGCAGAGCAGGGCAGCTCTTTACCAGCTAATAGGGAAGAATTGCAATGCTTTAATAACTGGCATGGTTATGCTGACTGTCCTGCTTAACATTGCTTTTCAGAAGACAAATGGAATTCCATTAAGTAGAATAATCAGCTTAAAGATAATTCAAGATAGGGTAGAAGATCAGCAGGGAGTTCCCTGAATGCCATATTTATTCTATATCACTCTCACACGCACCCGGGTGCGGTCTCTCACTTGAGTAGGAGATCAATGCCCTTACTGAAAAGCACACAATATCCTTCTGCCCTTACCCTGCATGTAGGATTTTTCATCTCCTATTGCAGCAATAGACCATGCAGAGCTTGGTGTGGTGGTATACGTGTGTAATCCTGGCCACTCAGAGGGGGAGGCCGGAGGATTGCAAACTCCAGGTCAGTGTAGGCAACTTGGCAACCCCATATCAAAATAATAAAATAAAATAAAAAAGGCTGCAGATATAGCTCTGTGGTAGAGCACTTGCCTGGCATGCAGGGCCTCTGGTTTCGGTCCATAGTAGAGAGACAGGGAGAGAGAGACAGAGACAGACAGATGACAGACAGACAGACAGACAGTCAGACAGACAGACACACACATACACACACATACACACCATGGAAACCCAGAAACCCAAAGCTGGGGATAGTAGTACATGGTAAGATTGAGAAAGGGTAGCAGCCTGGGCTGGAAAGAAGGAAACTTGGGCCAGGCCCTGATGGCAGCCACTCTCCCTGTCCATAGAGGTGGCGCTCTTTGCTGTTGGAGGTAGCCTGAGCTCAGGTGGACCTCCTTGGCATTCATAGCACATGAGGAAGGCAAGTCTGACCCGTCAAGTTGAAGGTAAGGGCTGTGAGAATGGGCATAGGGAAGCAGGAGAGAGCACAGCCCAGGTCTTGGCTCCTGGACACTCAGCCCCTTGGCCTGCATTTTAGAGTGTTCTCAACTTACCTGGGGGAGCACACCTGATTACTGCAATATTGGAAGTAGCTATTGCATCAGAGGAAGGGATGGAGCTGCTGTTCCGATCTGAAGATCGCACACTGAGGGGAGGTTGTGTGTGTGCACGGGCACATGCACGCCTTCCCACTTGCAGATAGCCCCTCTCACTTCTTTCTGTGGCAGCCAAGGGTGGGAAAGCAGAGAGGCTTGGGGGGAAGGGGAGGGGAGGAGTTGGCTGGAAAAATGGATTTTCTCTCAGAAATGGCTGGGGGAGGAGCTCTGGGAACGTGACACATCAAGAGGTTACGGATGTACATCTAGCCAATTTTTAATTGGGGTAGAATGCTGGAGCAAAGAAGTCTCCCTGTAACAGTAGTGAGATCCAGAAGAGGAGCTAGGAAGCAGGAGGCTGCAGAACCTTCCTGAGCAGGGACAGTCTTGGCTTGCAGGGAGAAGGAAAGCAGTGGGAGGAATGTGCTACCATCAGCCCCTGTTCCCCACTCACCCTGCTGTCCTCTCTCCACCTAATGGGCTGTGATGCCAGAAGCCAGGGCGTCCTCAGGATGGGGAAGCCAGGCCAGAGCTAATTCCCTGTCAGCAGATTCTCAGGAGCTATGGAAATGAAGCAGCTTGGTACAGGGCAGATAACCAGGAGGAGCCCGAGGGTGCAAAAAGTGCGGAATATTTCTCTAGTTGTTCAATGTTTATCACAGCTGGGGCCCTGGGCAGTCAGCCTGAGGGAGTGTGTGCACACGTGTGTGTACACATGTGCAAGCAGGCATTACTTCAGAGTCATGAAGACTCCAGCTGGTTTTGCTGTTTTTAGCCGGGTAGCTCTGGGTCTTCTCCATATGATGGCAGGGTGTTTTGGGTGGTGGAGAGACTGAGGCCTGGAGAGTGGAGCAGCTGTCTCCATTCTTGGTAGTGGATCGGTCCTGGCATTTCTGGAATGCCTCTTCCCAGCCCCCAGCCCCTGCCCCAGCACAGCCTCCTTTTCACACTGTAGCCCCAATGCCCAGAGTATGTCTGTATTTGTTCTAAAGCAGAATGATCATGGCCATTTTGGTTTACTCAGAAATTATTTCACATCTTTAAAGTTTGCAGCCATTATTTCATAGAATTAGAAGGTACCTCATCTGCACGTGAGCACATTTAGGGCCAAAGCAGTGAGGTCACACTGCTAGGTCGTGCTGGATCTCGCTCTGGAAGCCTGGTCCTGCCAAATTCTCTCTGCACTGATGACACTGCTGCCAGGGCCACCTTGTAGGTTCTGTGGACAAGTGACCACTCCTGGGTGACTTCTGAGCTTAAGGATGGTCCAGCCCCTACCACAGAGTCTCCTGCCTAAGCTTTTCTTTTTTCCTGGGTAGAATTTGAGAGATCTGCTTGGGTCTGAATTTATAAGAATTTGGCCTTGAGAAATGGAAGCCTTTGGATCTCTCTAAAGGACGGAAAGAGGAATGAGTAAAAAGGGATTATCCATGCTTGTTTCCCATTATAATATTCTCCACCTGGTAAATTCTTCTTGCCATCTAACCTGAAATGAAAATCTGTCATTCCGTGCAGTTTAGTAGCAAAGAAGAAGCCCAGCCAGACAGGCAGTCTGGTGTTATCTTAGCCCTGAGAATTTCAGAGCTTGGGAAGCTGCTGAACCTCCGCTCCTCCTACTCTCTGGTGCTGTCTGTCCTGGGCATATGAGAAGTAATTTAACTTGCAACTTAAGCAAAGGCTGTGGGAGGTCCCCGGGCTCAGCTTGAAGAGAAGGGGAATATTTTTGCTTCCTAGAGGAAGAAAACTCATTTTCCGACTGCACCCCCGCCCACTCCCCCTCCCGTGCAGATGAGCTTAATTTTCTTCCCTTCCTAATGAAGATGGATCAAAGCCAAGCTATATATTCATGGGGGAGCCAAGCAGGGAAGCCCAGTGAGGAGGCCAGGGGGCAGGAACAGAGCTTGGCTCATGGAGAGGAAGTAATTAATTTTAAGAGAGAGCTAAGATAGGGAAGCTCTTGATAATAGAATATCAAACTCCAGATGCAGGTGGCTAAAAATTAAATCACAGCGCGGAGACTTTCTTTCATTCATGCGTTTATCCATCCAGGAAATACTTATTGAGCATCTACTACACACAGGCAGGGCCCTCACTCAGGAGGTCTGTAACCACAGTAGGGCACAAAAGAGAGGAAGAGAGCGCAGTCTGAAAACAGAGACTTCCTGTCACCAGGATAAATCATTTGCAAGAATCCTACTAAATGCCTGAATGTATTGACCTTTTGGATTTAGGATTAGCTTTTTAAATACCAGCAGCTGTTGGACCCAGTAACAGCCAACCAGCTTGTCCTTTGTGGGTTAAATAATAATATTGTCCATTTGCTTTTCTATACACTGATTGCATTGTTCCTGACCAAGTTCTGCCCTTAATTCAGAAAATTTGATTAGCCCCTCCCTTTCTGTGTCTGTTGTGATATCACAGGATTACCATGGCAACAGACTATGATATCAACAGCTTGCCTGCTGCTGCTAAAAAGAACCACATTGGTCAGAAAGGGATCTGTCATGTGGAGACAGAATGGAGTGATACAGAAAGCCAGAGGAACTGAAATGTGACATCAAAAAAAAAAAAAAAAAGTATGATGGCAGTGTAAGATAGCAGTGGGCCTTAGAGCCTCCTTTGCTGGAAACCCTGTGCAAGTTACTGAGGCACTTATGAGGACCAAGCAGAGAGCAGGCTTGCCTAGAGGGAGGGGAACGGGACAGGTGACCTTCAGAAGGCCTTGCAATTCGAGGAGCCTAAGACATGGAGGATGTTAAGGAAGGGAGAGATTTGACTGGCTGTGGGCTCTGGAGCACTTGCATTAACACTGATGCGGACTCCTTGCCCATGAGCAGATCTGACAGTTACCAGCTGGAATTTATCATCTTGCATCTGGAAGGTTTGCGGCAATAAGCACACAGTGACCCCCTTCTCAATCCCCACTTGCTCCCCCTGCCTCACAGGCACTGGGAGGAGAAAGCCTTCCTTCCATCTTCACCGTCCGCTCTGATGTTACAGCCTCCACACCCATCCGCGCTCTGCCTCCGCTGTGTCCGGCTCTCCACCAGCAGGACCACTGCATGCAGAGGGCAAGCAAGCTGCTGCCCAGTCTGAGGGGAGGGTGGCCAGGGGCCGATCACAGAGATGCCTCATGCATTCTGCTCCTGTCTATACCGAAAGCTGGTCACGCTGAGAGACGAGAAAGGAGACTTCCTTAATTAATCTCATCTTCTGGACAGCGGCAGCAGTAACGGCACATGAACCTGGAGCTTGCTTTAACCCTTGTGTCTGCAGGCTCTGAAGGGGCTCTGAAAAGCAAGTTGGCTTTCAGATCCAGAGCCTATGTCTGGGGTTGGCAGCCAGGGAGGCAGGAGCACCGTCTCCCTGCGGGTCGGGCTGGCAGGAGTTCCTGCCGTGCAGATGGGAATGCAGCCCCGTTCTCCTGCGCCCGCCCAGCCACTGTGTCCTTAGCTCAGTGAGGTCGGACTACCTGGAAGTGGCACACCTGCTCCGTGCATGCCTGTCTCTTCTCTTCTGCATTTTCTCCTTGGGAGTATGAACCAGGAGGATGCTGTTCCCTCCTTGCTGATTCTGTCTCCAGTCGTCTGACCGGGTAGCATTCTGGCTGAAAGCTAGGATGCCAGAGGCCTCGTAGGGCACCCAGGTGACTCCTACCACCACCCAGCAGGAGCCCCTTCCCTGTTCTCCAGTGCCAGAGCCAGGAAGAGGAGGCAGCCACAGCCTCCCTGCCATCACTCGCCTGCATCTCTGCCACAGCATTTAGGGTTGGACCGGAGGACTTACTTCTCAGAGGGATGGTAGCAGCTGGGTGGCTGGTGGGTCCTCTGAGGCTGCTGAACTGGGGAGCAAGCTGCCAAAAAGATGTTGAAGTTTCGGGCTGATCGACGGGTCAGGTAGGGAATCCTTGCACAGACTGGCAATCAGAGCAGGCCGAGCTGGCCCCTCATCCCATTCAGATCTGGCACTTTTCAGTGAGGGGTCTGCCGGAGCTGACCTGGGAGGAGAGGATAGTTAGGTCAATGGCTGCTGCATTGCAGTGCCTGGGAAGGGGAAGCTATTTTGAAATTGGTAGCGCCGGGATGGAGGGAGGACGTCATTTGTAGGGGTTGCTGGGTAGGAGACTCTGGGGCAGGGAGTAGACGCGCGATGGCTGACGGCAGGCTGTGTGCATGGCAGTGTGTCTGTGTGTACTGTTGTCTGCAGAAGGCTCCTGGCAGTGCAGAGGGGGCTGGAGGGGCAGGGCAGGGCAGGGTGGGAGGGGCAGGTGTTCCAATCCAGCCAGCAAATGCAAGGCCCTCAGCACCTCAAAGGATGTAGTTGTCGTGAACTACCTGCCCCCCAGACCTCTAGGGGAGCAGAGCCAGAGTCCAAGTTAACTGGAAACAAGTACCCTTCCTTGACCCCTGTGATTGAATTAAGAAGAGCGTCCTCATTTGGAAGCTGGTGGGATTGCAGTTTGGAAATGGGAGTAAATTATCAGTCTGTTAAAGTCAGAACCCAGGCCCGATAAACACCGGTCAAATTTCAGGTCTTGGTTGCTAAGCCCCAGCTGCACACCCTGGATTTCCACCCAGGCTATAGCCGCTGCCTGCTGCATTTCTGTCCCCTATGTCTTTGGATTAGATCTGCTTTTTTCTGGAAGCAGAAAAAAAAAAATACCCTTTGATATTATCTTTAGCTTCGGGAGACAGCTTGAGGGCTGGCGTATGGCCTGGGCTATTGAAAGAAAGCATCCAGAAGGTTAATTTCACATCTCTCCTGTGGTGAAGGGACTGAGCTAAAATCTTCCACTGGTGGACCTGCAGCAGGTGGAGCGGGCTCTTTGCTATGGGTGCTTAAGTGGCCCATCTCAGCCATGCCTGTCCCCCTCTTGCTCTTAGGATCAACTGGAGCCTGCTCTGGGCTCCCATAGTATTTCTCAAGATGGGTGGGTGACAAGGACCGTGGAACTTGCCCAGCCCTCCCCCTCCCCCTCCACGGGCTGGACACTTGACTCTCCTATGCTCTTGCTGGGCGGTTTTCTCTCACAGAGAAGCTGTGATTTATGCCTTAGACCCACTGCACCAGCCCTCTCCCATATCCCCTTCCTGAGAGCCCACCAGGGAACCAGCCTGACATTCAGCAGCTACAAGAGCCTCAGCAGGCCTCCCGCAGGAGCCTCCATGCCAGACCCCTATCTGCCACAGCGTCCCCCGCCCTGGTTCCTGGCAGGCTGTCCGCAGTACACCCCACCCGCTGCCGGCCACAGCAAGCCTTCATTCCATTGAGTGTTCAGCAAGCCTGACCTTGGTGCCTGACAGCTCTTGAGGTCTCCGTGACATTGAGACAGGAGACCCCGGCCTAGGAGGGTGGCTGAGTCCCTGCCCAAACTCAAGGATAGGGTTTCTGAATCTGGCATTTCATTTGAAGAAGGAGCTAAAGCATCAGGCAGGAGATGCAGAATCCAAGGTCACAAGAGAGTTCTTTCAGCAAATAATGAGGGAGCATTTTTAATGTGGAGCTCTGGCAAACGCTGTCATGCGCAAGCTGTCACGCATGAGACCTTGACTGTGTTGAACTTGCAGTTGGAACAACCCACTCTACCCTCCCACCCACACCGAGGCTGACCACCAACCCAGCGAGTTAGGAGCTATTGAGCCTGGGATGTCCAATAAGCATTAACACTGACTTTGATAAAAAGGGACCAGGCGTCATTTCTTCTTCCCCAACCCTGCCTGCAGCTCTTTAGCTGAAGCTCTCCTCTTTGTCCCCATCGGAGGACAGAAGCACTGCTTCTCACATGTTCACCAGTTCCTGTCCCTGCCCAGAGTCTATCTTCCTTTAGATTGTGTTCTGCCTTCTACGTCCTTACCACAACATCTCCCTCTTCTCCCTCAACAGCCACAATGAAAGACAGAACACATTTCGGCACCCAGTGACCGGCCAGGTCCCAGAGGAAAACAAAAAGTTTGACTTAAAAACGTAAGTGTGGCCCTCACCTCGCTCTTGGGTGTTTCTGTCCTGCACCACCACCATCCCATTGCCACCGTGGAGCTGGCATGGGGAGGAACAGCGAGGGAAGGAAAGAAGAGATTTTGCCTCAGTGCTAGGGACCAGAAGCTGCCGGGTCCCATTTCTTCACACCCTCACCCGCTTCTTCTGAGATCTGGCAGAGGTGAGGCTGGCACCTCTTGTGGCTTGGACTCTAGCGGTCAAAGCCAGGTCTGAGGTTGGCACGGCACCAGGGGCCTCTGCGGGCAGCACAGAGAGTCCTGAGCACTCCTTCCTCTGTCTCATTCTCTAATGTGGATCCCGCCTCCACAAATGCGAGGAGGGGAGCGGCTTACTGACTCTTGTCCTCTTATAGACCACTCAGATGCTGTGAGCTTAAAGTTAGAAGGAGAAGAAACTCTGAAGGCCCAGGATATAAACTTTTTAAATAAATGGGCTGGAGAAAAAGAGGAGAATGTCCAGAATTACTGGCATTTAACCCCGGAAGAGATGAGGGGGTTTCTGAGGGGCTGCTTGGTGGCACTTAGGGGATGGAATTCCACGCTGACTTGGGTCAGAGGGTGGCAGGGTGGGTGGGGAAGAGGGACGGCTTTCCTGTTACATCTTGACACTGACCTGTGTCTTTCCTCCGGTCAACCTGAAATCAGATTGGCCTTGGACATGTCCAATAAAACAGGTGGGAAGCGCCCTGCTACCACAAACAGTGACATAGCCAGCCACAACATGGTGTCTGAGGTCCCTCCAGAGAGGCCCAATGTGCGGGTAAGTCCAACCCTCGGGGTACAGCGTCAGACGGGAAATGGCTTCAGTGTGGGTTAGTAGTATCCCAGGGACTCCTAGGAAATCCTCACCTGCCCAGCGCACTGTGCAGGTGGGCGGGGTAGCACAGGCAGTGAATGCAGAGTGGAAAGGGATCTGGACCTGGGCTGCCTGTCCTCTTAGCCCTGTTAGCATCTGGGGGTGGATGATTCATGGAGGAGCTGGGCTGCATTGTCCAGTGTAGCACATCCAGCTGCATCCCTGAACTCTGCCCACTAAATGCCAGTAAGACCCTCGCTTCCAGTTATGACAACCCACCCTGTTCTCCCTGAGGGTCGCTGATCTGGGAGACAGCAAAAATGACTCCTAGGAAGGCCATAGGGACCTCAGGAGGAGGAAGTTACCCAAGGAACAATGTTACAAGAAGATGAGCAGGGTCAGGGCTAAAAAGGGCTTTGGGTTTTGTGGCAATGTGGCACTTGAAAGGCAAGCCAGAGAGGGCTAAGGGGATGGGTGAGGCATACAACCTCTGTTCTTAGAAATGAGACATCGATGGCTATATATTTGTATAGTGGAGAGTCCTCCAAAAATTAAAATGAACTTGCTCTGTATAGCACCTTGGAAACATGATTCTGCAAGTTTCAGAATATGAAAACTATATCACTTATGTAAACTGCACAAACATGAAAAGCAGTGTTCCCTATTTATAGGAGCATCTGCAGTAGGAGTGTCCAAGCATGGGCAGGGAGGCTAATTTTGGGTCAGTGCTTGCCTCTAGGGAAGAGAAAGGTAGGAAAGAGAAAGGTAATGGGGTTGGGGAGGGCCCCAGAGGGTTTTAACTCCCCTTGGCTTGTCTTACTGGTGAGAAAAACCAGGCAAAGAAATGTCATTATATTCTTCTCTGCTTTTCTGAAATGTTTGAAATATTTTTTTTAAGTAGTCTATAGTAATCGCATATATCCATGGAGTTCAATGTGGCTGCTCAACGTGCATGTACAGTGTGTGCCAGTGAAGTCAGGACAGTTAGCATGTCCTTCTCCTTGTCACATCTTTAGGATTGGACCCTTTGAGCTTCCCTCATCTAGGTCCTCATAAAATACATAGCAGGTCATTGTAAGCTATAGTTAGACTGTGAAGGAAAATGGTGGGGTGGCGGGGACTACATTGGCAAGACAGACAGGTTGGTGGGTTAGCTGGAGGCATGAGGGGAATGCTCAGTAGCCAGGTGCAAGAGAGCATGGTGGTCATCCACATTTCAGGGGAGACAGGAGTCAGAGGCCCTACTCCTACCCTGGATGGGAAAGCGGTGCTTCATCCTGAGATGCATTGAAATAAAAGAAAAAATAGTAGGTGAAGTTGAAGTGGGTGTCTTAGAGGTTGAAGACAACCCCACCTATGTCTGTGACTTTTGCAGGAAAGGAGAGGGTGTGAAGTATTCTGTGGTAGGGAGGGCCTAGGTGGGGTGCAGTGGGGAAGGAGGAATGGTAGCCAGCAAGGGACACATGAAACTGCTCTGTGATTTCCAAGGTGTAGCTTGGAGGCTGTGGTGGGGCAGTGAGGGACAGCAGGGGACAGAAGGGTGGGATGGACATGATACCCTGAAAGCAGAGGGGAGGATTTCGTTGGGGCCTTGTATACCTTTGGTGATGACGTCTTAGGATGGCGATTCTCAGCCAGTACCTGTATCCTCTCTGTCTCTCTCTTTCTCTCTCTGTCTCTCTCTGTCTCTCTCTGTCTCTCTCTGTCTCTCTCTGTCTCTCTCTGTGTCTCTCTCTCTGTCTCTATTTCTGTCTCTGTCTCTCTCTGTCTGTCTCTCTTTCTCTATGTATGTATGTCTGTGTCTGTCTGTCTCTCTCTCTCTCTCTCTCTCTCTCTCTCTCTCTCTCTCTCTCTCTCCTAGTAATGTCCAGAAAACAGTTTCATGTCCTCATAGTTGCCAACTTCTTTGTTTTTTTTTTCTGTAAGTAGTTACCAAGCAGTACTCAGTAAGGATGGACACCTCACTGGCTCTGGTGATGAAAGGGCTGAGCAAAATGAAGTTCCTCCCTGAGAAGAGCTCATGTGTAGTGGAGAGGACAGAAGTAGTGGACTGCACAGATGTGCAGAGGACAGGGTCTCTGATGGCTCAGGGACATCACAGAGGAGGGGGCATCTATGTTGCACTTTGGTGAATGAGCTGGGAGTTGTGGGTGGACAGAGGCAGATGCCCTGCCCAGCGAGGGAGCACAGCCAGCAGAGCCATGGGAGAGAGTGAGAGAAGCTGCGGGGCAGTGTGGCAGCTCTTCTAGACCCGCCCTCACGAGGGGTGCTGAGAACGCAGGCTCTCCTCAGGGATGAAAGCTGGTAAGAAGAAATTTTAAGCAAGCAAGAGGCATGGTTATAGTGCACTTTAGCAAAATCACCTCAGTTTGTCACCCAGGAGGGACAGCAAGAAGAGATGAGGATCTGCAGGAAAACCACTGTGGGATTTGAAAGGATGGAACAGATCTGAGCCATCCTAAGATAAGCTCCAGCTGGGCATGTGGTACAGTGGTAAAGCACTTGCCTAGCATGCACAGGCCACAGGTTCAATCCCCAGCACCACAAAACAGACAAACAAAAGCAAAATAATAAAACTTTCACTGAAGTCCACCAAGACTCTGAGTAGAAGGAAAGCCAGAAGGACCAGCCAGCTATGGAGGTTTCGAAAGGAAGACGGTAGTGCCAGCCAGAGGGTGGAAAACTAATGTTGCTGGTGCTTTAGTGGCTCCTGGACTGCGTGGCCTTAACAAGAGCCATGTCAGAATGAAGGAGAGAAGGTTTTGGAGTTGGGGAGAAGAGGGAGGCTCCTCCCAGTAGCCTCCCCTGAAGAGAGGGGGAGGTGGCTGCTTTCGTTGGACAGAGAGTGTGGGAGAGACAGACAGGCTGGAGAGTGCTCCTGGGAGAAGCAGCCACTGGTGATTTGAGAGGAGATGGTCAGTGAGGCAAAGTCTCAGAGGTGATCTCAGGTCAGCCATGTCATCCTCCGAGAGGAGGGTGACACTTCTGGCATTGAGGGAAAGGCAAAGATGGCAGCTGAGGGAGGTAATTTTCTAGGTAAAAGGGTGTGAAATTGAGAAAATGTGTGTCTGACAACTTCAGTTCCCTCCGTGGACACACTGGGTCCCCTTGGGGAGAGGCTGGGGAGGTCAGAAGATGGGGTGGGTGGAGTTGTTGTCGGGCTCAGCCGGCTGGGGTTGGGAGCTGTGGATCTGCAGTGACCTCATCTGTGCCGCGGTGTGACTTTTTTTTTTTCTCAAGCAGTGCTATGATCTGGATGTGAGTACAGAGAGGGTGGATAATTTGATTACTTTGGAATACTGGACTTCACAAAGACAATGGGTAGGGCCTTGAGTCCATCTGTGGAAGATAATAACTAGAACTGGGAAGTGGCTAGTGGATCCACAAAGAAACAGAGAGGGTTCAGGAGCTAGGGATCTTGGTGAAGTAGCAAAATGGTAACATTGAGGGATGATGGAGGGAGGAAACCCAAAGGAGAAGACAGTGATCAGAAATGGGGATTCTAGCACTGAAAGTTTTGTGAGGTGGCTTGAGATGCTCATGGGCTAAGCTGCGGCCCTGAGAGTGAGTAGCTGGTGGGGGAAGAGGGGTTTGGAGCTGAGGGTGTCAGCGTCAGACAAAGTTAGGACATTGGATGGGCCACTGTCACAAGACAGTGTCTTGGGATCACACAAAGATTCTAAGACTAATAAGGAAGAGGATGGCTGATATCAGAAGACTTAGACACTAAAAGAACAGTCTAGAAGCTGACAGTGCTGGGAGGGGAAGTCGGGCAGTGGTGCTTCAAGGGAGACAGACTTGTGCCAGGACATAGAAGGAGGACATTGTCTATGTCATACTGAGGAACTGCTGTGCTGTACAGAGACTGAGTAGGATTCAGGGAGGATGTGACGTGGGCAGTTCACTTGCAGGTGCATGGATTCCCGGAAGTGCTGTGATGACAGTGAGCAGGACAGAGAGGAGAGGAAGCCTAGGTCAGGGTGAAATGAGAAATCTAATTTTCTCCTAGAGAAAAAAGAAAACCTGATGGGTAGTGCTGTTATTTTTGAGGCCCAGGTTAGAGATGAGAGAAGGAGCCAAAGAATCAAAAGGTCTTGTGAATTAGTAACAGACTCAGGATTCACACATGGGCTTCAGCATGAGCCAACCAGGGGTAAGTTAGAGAGCTGCCGCCTCGGCTGGGGAGGGGCTCAGTGGTACAGCGCTAGCATGTACCGGGCCCTGGGATCCAACCCCAGTGCGGGGGAGAGGAAAGAGAGGCCATACAGCCCTAGCTAGCTCCCTTGCAAAGAAAGCAAAGAGCAGGGAGGGAGGGAAGTAGGGCCAGCGTCTCTCTCTGCCTTGCTAGGCAACTCGGACATCCCGCAAAGCTGTCGCCTTTGGCAAGCGTGCACACTCCATGAAGCGGAACCCCAACACCCCTGTCACCAAGGCAGGCTGGCTCTTCAAACAGGTGAGGTCACCCTGCCTCTCCTCCTGCCACAGCCACCACTCTGCTCTAGGTTCCTGGCTCTCCAGTGTTTATGGCAGAGTGTATAGTTTTTCGTATGTCCTCCCACTGTCTCTGTGGGTGAATGTCCTTGTCATGTAAAGGCTCAGAAAAGTTGAGTGTCTTCCCAATGTCACACAGAATGAGTGTGTCAGATGTTGGAGTCCTAGGGGAGTTTCTGAGGGGCAAAGGCAATGACTTTGAGATTGTGTGGGTCAGCAGCCCTGTCAGCCCTGTCAGCAGCCCCCTCACTCATTATTTGTAGGTCCCTCTTGCTGTGGTGGGCTTGAGTGCCCCCTTCAGGCCCAGGGGTCTACCAGCTCACTCCAGGTTAACCTTGTCACAGCCTTGCCTGCCCTTCTGCTGAGCCACTCTGGTCTGTCTCTTGTTCCTGAGCCTCATGGTGATGGGATGAGAAGGTCATGGGAATAATATCCTGTAAGTTCCTTGCATCTGAGCTCTTGGGCTGGGGATGCTGCTGCCACGTGCTAGTGGCCAGCTTGTGACTGCAGGTAGGACACAGGTGTGATTGGGGCAGCACTGTCCTCATCATACTGCACCCTTCCTGCACGCCCGGCTCCCAGCCCCTCACATCTGTCTCCCCACATGTCCTGCAGGCCAGCTCTGGGGTGAAGCAGTGGAACAAGCGTTGGTTCGTGCTGGTAGACCGCTGCCTCTTCTACTACAAAGGTAAGCTTTCCTGGGGCCACCATGCCTCCTCATCCTGCCTTAGCACTGGGCCCTGCTTGGACTGGGCATTGCCAGAGATGTCTCCCCATTATATCCCTGGGGACCAGTAGGGTATGGCTCTCATTCACATAGTCACTCATTCATTCAGTTGTAAGTCAGCAATGTTGATTGATGCCTACATGGTGTCAGGCAGAGTTGTAGGTCCTGGCTGGTGACACTGGATAGACAAAGGGGATGGGGAAGAAAGGAAAAGCATGAAGAGAAGAGGCCACTAGTTACCTATGGGAGGTCACCTATGGATCAAGGCTTGAATGTTAATCTCCTGTCCCACTGGAGTATACAGTCATTCCCAAAGGCAGGAGTTTTGCTAGTTTTGTTCCCTGCAGGGTTCACAGTACCAAAAAGCATGTACAGACCACAATGGATTACTGGTAGACCCTGAATAAATGAAGCACCTCTACCCACTCCACACCTCCATACACACCCCTAGTCCCTCCCACCTACCACCAAGGAGGAGGGTATGATCAGGTAACTGGTACAGCCTCCTCTGGGAAGTCATTGGGGGGGGGGGGTTGGTGGAACCAGGGATTGAACTCAGGCCCTTCTACAAGCACTTATTCTACTGAGCCCTCTCCCCGGCCCCTGGGAAGTCATTGTAAAATGCACATGTGATATGTGTTCAGGAGGGACAGAGGGCAGGAGCAAGCACTGTTGACTACTAGTGGCCTCCTGGCAGACCCTAGCGCAGGAGGAAGAGGCGTGGGGCACAAGGAGAGGCAGGGTGCAATGATCTAGAAGCAAGAGAGGTTATTTGCTCCTCTGCTTCTTTGCCCTGGGAGGGTGGAGCCCTGCTTTGCTCAGGCCTCCTCAGAGCAATTTGGTGAGTCATTAACTTTGGCAAACAAAGGTCGTACCTGGTGGACCCCTGTGAGCCCCTGCTTCTCTGGAGCCCTGACTTGTGGCCTGGCTGACCCTGAAGGAGAGAAGTCAGGAAGGGGTTGAGGACGTGGGGCAGGTGTGGGGGAAAGCCCAAGCCTGGGGGAAGAGAATCTGCACAGGCCCAGATGCTGAGCTGGGAAGCAGGACTGTCCTGGAGCCAGGGTGGGAGTGGACAAAAGGAAGCCTGGTCCCTGCAGTGGAAGGGCAAGACACGCTACAAAGAGGGACCCTGTCCACAGCACCGTGGCCTTGGAGCAGCCCTTGTCTCAGTCCCTTTCCTGTTGCTGGGCAATTTACCAAGGAGAGAGGTTTGTTCAGGCCTGTGGTCTTGGAGGCTGGGAAAACCCAGAGCCTGGCGCTGGCTGCTGCTTGGCCTTTGGGGGCTTCGGGAGTAGAAGGACGGAGGAGTAGGCATGTGTGGAGGAAATAAAACCCGAGGGTAGTGTTGCTTTGCTTTGTAAGACCTGCCCTAAAGAGGAGTCCATTCTGAACACTCCGCCCCTCTTTAAACCTGCACCACTACCTCTGCCAAACTGTAATTGGGGTTTTAGAAAGACAAACCTGAGGGTGGGGTACCCCTTCTCTCTTCATGACCTCTCTACAGTGCAACATCCCCCACCCACCCCCAAGAGCATGCATGTGGCCCTGCTGTGTAGCAGCAGTAGGTGGCCTTAGGAATTCCCCTGTGTACACCCTTCTGTACCTCTGTCCCTGGCAGATGACAAGGAGGAAGTGACTTTGGACATCAGTTTTTCATCCATAACATGGTGGCACCCCCTGAACATTGACCTGTACTGTGCTAGGCAGGAAACCATTTCCTTTGAGGCAGTCAGCCCCCAAACAGGGCTTTCAGAGTCCCAATCCAGGAAACAAACAGCAACCCCAGAGGAGGCGTGAGGGTCTTGCCAGACCACATATTTGTCCCCCACCTGTCCCACAGAGCACCCTGTCCTGTGTGGCCTTCTGCTGACAGCTGGGCTGACTGGCTAGTCCTTCAGGATGAATTATGTGACAGCCTAATTGTTAGCTGGACCCTGGGACACAGGCATGCTTTCCTAAGGGAGAACAGGGGCCTCAGAGGGTCTGAAGCAAGCTGGTGGGTGGCCCAGAGGAGCCAGAGTGGAAGGAGGGCAGGTGTCCTCCCTGTGCTGCACCCCATTCCCCTGCTCCGTGTGTCTTGGCTGGACCTGTGCCATCGAGTAGATAGGCTGGTAGAGAGGGCAGAGGTCCAGAAGGCTAGCTGTGGAGTCACGCTTCTTGGGTATAAGGGCCTGTGGCTGGTTGGCTCTTTTCGTGGCCTCAGACACATCCCTTAGCCTCTGTGCCTCTTCAGTTCCTTATCCGCCACATGGTGGTAATGGCAGTACTTCCTCAAGTGTAGTTGGGAGAGTTGAGTCCAGTAGGACGTTGGTCTTCCACCAGGGACTGACGCAAGGTGAGCGCTCCCAAAATGTCAACTGTGACTGTGTATTGGTGCATTCGAAGGACATAAGGGGGGTGGGTACCCTTTCCTCTTCATGACTTCTCTACAGTCCAGCATGCCCCACCCCCAGGAGTATGCACGTGGCCCTGCTGTGCCGCAACACTAGGCAGCCTCAGGAATTCCCACGTGCACACCCTCTGTGCCTCTGTCCCTGCAGATGAAAAGGAGGAGAGCGTCCTGGGCAGCGTTCCCCTCCTGAGCTTCCGGGTCGCAGCTGTCCAGCCTTCAGACAACATCAGCCGGAAGCATACATTTAAGGTCAGTCGGGCCTCCTCTCTGGGGTCACATCAGGGAACCTCCTCTTCTAGACTTGAGGCATGGAGACAGGTCCAGGGCATCTCCCTGAGGCATCCAGTGGAGGAGGAGGGAACTGCACTGACCCCTGGGCTCAGTGTGGGTGACTGTGAGGCTGAGGTGAGGCTGTAACAGGTCCCCTGCTCTTCTCTTAGGGGTCCCCTGAGGACTTCACAGTGGGTGTGGCGCACCTCGATAGTGCCATGGCTTTTGCTGGGGAAGAAAGTTATATCCGAAGTGTTGGGCCTCCCTCCCAGTAGTCTGCCCCTGGGAGGTCTCTCTGGGCAAAGGTGGGCCTGTGGCTGGTAGGCTTCTGAGATCTCCTGGGGAAGGGGTTTCTTCCCACCTCGGGCCCAAGGAACTGGACCCATGGTACTCGAACTTTTAATCTTTATAGAAAATTAGGAGTTGCACTTCACTCCAGTCTGAGCCACAAGCTTTGTATAGACAATTTGAAAGAACAAGTGCCCAGGAAAGTGGGACTCAGTGCCTGCTCAGTGCCACTCCCTAGGAAGCCCCAAGGGACCCACCAGCCAAAGGCCTGCCTGCAGCTGGCTCATCCTAGGCCAGTGTTTTTCCACATTTAAAAATTCATGACCCATTAAAAACTATAAAAATCCCATGCCCTTTTTGTATTTTGCGATGCAAAAGCCATAGGTTTCTTTTTGCTCTCCAAATATATAACGTCAACTGTGCATTTTCTTAGGACAAAGCCCTCCCTCCCTCCTCTTTTCCCTCCCTCAGCTGAGAATTGCTGTCCAAGTCCCTTAAACCCAAGCTGTGGTGTTAGATGATAGGACCTTCAAGTCACACTTGGCCAGGAGCTGAGCTCCTAGGGCCCTCTCTGTCCAAAGCGGGTCAGCTGGCTACAGAAAAGAGATGGGTGGCATACACAGATCCTTCCACAGTGAACCAGAAGGATTTATTTGGCATATAATTAGTTTCCCAGCTCCCAGGGACTTGTGTGCCAGAGGTGTGAACAAAATGAACAATTAATAAAACTCTGACTCCAGGGAACCTGATTCTAGCTGGAGAAATAGGAACAGGCTATTTAACAAACAACAAACAGTCCTCTGGTAGAGAGATACACTCACACCCACACGCCAGCAAACAGCCTCGCTACCCCTCCCCACCAGGCCTGTGAGAGACACACAGCCCAGCTCTGCTCAGAGCCAGATTCCAGCGTCAGATAAACATCTCAGAGTGCTGACACACAGCCCTGTCCCCAAACCCAGGGAAACTTCCCTGCAGCCCCTTACCTCCAGGGCCCACCTACCCCTTGTCCTGGTTTGCACTGCCCCTTTAGAGCCAGCTCTTTGGCCCACAAAGAGTTCTGACTGTGACTATTCAGTGGCCCTTCCCCAGGGAAGGGGGGGGAGCTGAGACAGACAGACTGGAGGCTTATCCTGCTGTGGCCACCAAGCGAAACTCTTGGGTGGAGAATAATGAGGAGGCAGGAGTGTTCTGCCTAGGCTGCAGCTGAATGCTTAACCTCTTCCTAACCCAACCCATGGAGGCCTGTGCCTGGGGATATCCCTTCAATTCTCAACCCCTTTCAAGGTTCCGGGCCAGTGCCCCTCCCTGTTCCCCATCAATAGCCCTATTTTTTCCCAGGCCCTCTTTCTCCCCCTGTCACAAACACATGTTCCTGGGCCTGTGTTTGCCTCTTGTTTCCCGCGGCATGTCTTACCCCAGTGTGGCCATGAGCTCAAGGGCAAGAACACGTCTGGGCCTCTCTTGTGCCTGGTGCCCAGTGAGCCGTGAACACAGGCTGCTTGCTGGATGCCTGCTGAATCAGTGGACTTATTAGCTGCCCACTCCCCCCACCCCAGGCAGTGCTGCCTGTCCTGCCCGCGTCTCCTGCCCTCTACAATCAGCCTGTGTTTTCCACTAGAGGGCTCGCTGGGCACCGGGCTCTGCTCCTGTGCAGTTTCAAGTCCCCCTGGCCTCCTCACAGCTCACTGGCTGTCCATCAGCTCCTCCCTGGTCCTCTTCTACCTGGCCTCAGCTCTGCCCACATGCTGGGCCCTCAACTGGAGAGCAGAGACCAGCCAGCGGGATCTGCCACTTGCTGGGAGAAGGGAGGTGAGGTGGGGCTGTCAGCATTTCAGGAGCCTTGTGAAGGTCAAGCAGGGAAAGCGTCTGCGGGTGTGGGTAGAGGCCATCAGGGAGCTCTGGTCCTCTCCTCCCAAACCCCAGGCCCTGGTTTAGCACCTGAGGAAATCCTGAGACTCACTTCTGAGACATATCACCTCTGAATCCCTCCTGCTAAGTGCAGTAAACCAGGCTACCTGGTTTGGGGGGCTCTATGGGGTCTCACCTGGAGAGCAGACTGAGGTCCCAGAAAAAATGTAGGACTGTGGCCTCTTTTGCCTGTAGCCAAAGAACCTTGAGTGCCACTGGGTGACCCCCCTCCCCATTGAGTTGATGCGTCAGTTAAGGTCACAGTGAAAAAGCAACTTGTCTGTAGCAGCAAGACGGCCAAAAGCAGAGTGACAATGAGCACTGGGGTTCGCTGCCCAGATGCCCCTAGGGTCTGTACTCTGTGCCCCACCCCTTGGTATGAGCAGGGCACTGTGGATTACTGTCTGTCCTTCCCCACAGTGACATTGAATAGGAGAGACAGTCTGAGCCCCCCCCTCCCCACCCCGCCCCATGCTTCTCACCATCTCCTGCCTCCTCTCCTGTGTCTCCTCTGGTGTTGGTTGACCTGTTTCTGCTTTTCCTCCTTCTGACCACGTGAGGACCCTTCCTCCGCCAGGAGCTCTCTTCTGGGTTCCCGCTGTGCCTGCTCCCAGCCACCAACTAGGTAGTGTGCTCCATCTGTATGCCAGTGTGTGCCTTGCATGCCTGGGGTCGGGGCTCGGCTATATCCCTGCGGGGAGTGAAGCTGGGGCTGAGAGTCTTGTGCGCCTAGGGCCATCTCCCCAGGACCTTGGGTAATTGTCACATATGAAATTGGAGGGGTGAGTGGGTATGATCATTGTCCCTCTTGCTTATAATCACCTGAGGTGGGGCAGGTAGGCATGCCTGGCTTTTGGGTGGCCTGGTAGCATTTAAAGACCTAACCAAGGCAGATACGTGGATGCCAGCTGGAGCCTGTGGGTTGGGCGTGGATTGCTCCCCTCACCTTGGTCCTGAGCTCTCCCTGGAGGAGGGCTGGAGGCCCAAGAATGACCCAACTGACCACTCTCCTGTGGGTGTTGGTGTTCTCTCCCTACAGGTGACTGTGTGCTGGGTGGATGAGGCCAGGGCCAGTTCCTCGAACTGCCTCTCCCCACAGGCTGAGCATGCTGGTGTCCGCACCTACTTCTTCAGTGCTGAGAGCCCCGAGGAGCAGGAGGCCTGGATCCAGGCCATGGGGGAGGCTGCCCGGGTACAGATCCCTCCCACCCAGAAGTCCATGTCCCAGCCTGTGCGTCACAGGTGAGTGCCAGTGTTCCTGGCGTGGGAGGGAGGAGAGGAGCGCTTGGCTGAGCCTCAGGTGCTGCCACAGACCTCTGCAGAGCTTGGAAGCTGCTCCTTGCATCCCACCAGGGGGTCTGAGTAGGGGACTACAGAGCCTGAAGTCTCTCTTGCCCTGCTAGGCTCCTCCCCTTTTCTCTGAGGGAAGCAACAGAGAAGCCATGTTCCTTCACATCAGCTAGGAGCCAAGGGCCAGTACTTACTGTGTGTGGCTTTGTGTGTTAAAGATACAGCGTTCAGAGGAAGGTTTGCATCTCGATGCGGCCTCTTGGCTGCAGGGTGACCTCGGTATAAGTGACTTAATCTCTCAGGTCCTGAGCTTTCTTTCCTCCAGACCAGTGATTATGCTCTTATCGCACAGGGCTGTGGTGGGGGCTGCGCTGTGTATGTAAAGCCTTGACATGCAGCAGACACTCAGCATATGGCTGCTCTCAGCACCTGCCATCCCCACAGTCTCAGCGCCTGTCTCTCCTTCAGCTGGGTATAGAGCTTTGAGATAGGTGTTAATGGGGATCCAGAAGAGGGGGGCTTGCAGTGTAGACTCCAAGCCTAGCCATGTGTCTTAGAAATGTTTACCCAGCAGCATTTCCACGGGGAAGCCTGAATCTAGCAACCTCAGGAAGCTATATGAGAAAATTGTCACGAGGCTCCTACTTGTGCACTTCCAGTTCCCTTGAAGGCTGGGATGCAGCTTCATAGTGGGATGCCTGCCTAGCACGTACAGAGCCCTGCTTTCCAGCACTGCAAGGCAAACAAGAAAAGAACAGCAGTCCACTCATTCATTTCACAATGTATTCACTTATTTTTATTTTTGCAGTATCGAACCCACGCCTTTGCACAAAGCTACACCCCAACACCACCTCTTGCCCCTTTTGGAGATAGGGTCTCACTAAGTTGCTAAGTTTTCCAGGTTGGTCACATGTGTTTCTTATGCTTTAGCTTCTTAGAGGCCTATGCCACCATGCCCAGGTTTTTATTTGACAAATGCTTCCTGGGGTTGTCCATGTATGAGATCCTACACCAAGTGCTGGGAATACAAGGGAGGACAGGCTACTGTGTCCTGTGCTAATGGGGCCAGTGAAAAGTGGTACATGACCTGAGAAGAAGGCCTGGTGGGCAGAGCCATTGTGGCATGCATGGGCAGGACTATCACATGTTGTGTAGCAATTGCCCAGGCTGGAGCGAGGAGATAAAGCCCAGGATTTAGGAAGAAGGATCAGAAGTGGCTGCATCATGTTCTGTTGCTACTTCCCTGCCCCTGCCCCTCCACTCCTTTTCTCCTTCCCAGATTGCCACCCTCCACCCAACTCCATGACAGGATGGAGTCACTTATAAATCTCCCTTGGCACCCTACAGCCACGAGAAGCCAGACTCCGAGAACATCCCACCCAGCAAACTCCTCCACCAGCCACCTCATAATAGCCTCCCAAAGCCTGAGCTGGAGGCCAAAACTCGAGGGGAGGGTGATGGCCGAGGCTGTGAAAAAGCAGAGCGGAAGCCGGAGAGGCCTGAAGTCAAGAAGGAGCCCCTGGTGAAAGCGAATGGCATCCCAGTTGGACCTGAGCCAGGCTCAGAGCCTGGCAGCCCTTACCCTGAGGGCCCGAGGGTCCCAGGGGGTGGGGAACAGCCGGCGCAACCCAATGGCTGGCCCTACAGCTCCCCAAGTCGACCAGGAAGCACAGCTTTCCCACCTCAGGATGGAGAGAATGCGGGACATCGGCGGAGCTTCCCACCCCGCAGCAACCCCGACAAGATCGCCCAGCGCAAGAGCTCCATGAACCAGCTGCAGCAGTGGGTAAACCTGCGCCGAGGGGTACCACCACCCGAGGACCTTCGGAGGTGAGGCCTGGCTGGGCAGCAGTGGGGCTCGGTGGGTCTTAGGGCCATGGCCTGGGAAGAGGTCACGACTTGGGACATGTTCCCTATTGGGAACCTGGAAGCCAGACTAAGCTGGGAAAACAAGACAATCCCGTGATTCCCAGCTTGCCCAAATCCTTTCCCACATTATGGTTCCATCTTTAGAGTTTGTCCACTGCCCTGCCTCTTGTTTTCTCGGTCTGCTTCCTTCCAAAAAGACAGAGCACGCCAATATCCCTCCAATAGGGTGCTAGAGAGCCCACGAATCTGGCGGGGTTGGGAGGACCTCCAGTTGCTCTGGTCCAACGCATGTCCATGTCCTCAGTGCCCCGTCTTCTTGTCTGGGCGTGCTGCCGACACTGGACACGCTGCCTGCCAAGCCCACTCTTTGTTTTTGAATCCTTGTTATTTGAAAGCCATTATTTATAGGAATATTTTTTATTTGTTTGAATTTTTGAAACAGTCTTACTATGTAAGTCAGACTAGTTTTTGAATTTGCAATTCTCCTGTCTCAGCCAAGTGCTCAGATGACAGGTATGGACCAAAATATACACAGCTGCAAGTTCTATGGATTTTTATTAAAAAAAAAAAAAAAAAAGGCCAGCCAGATAGCTCAGCAGACTAAAGCGCCTGCTTAGGCAGAGTGCAGTGGTTTGATCCCCAGCGTGCTATGCTGGCCCTGCCCTTGGGGCACACTGAAGGAGACCAAGAGACTGGGTATGGTGACGCATACCTGTAATCCCAGTGCTTGGGAGGCTGAATACAGGAGAATCACTACACTATGAGTCCGAGCTGTATAGTGACACCCTGTAGACCCTGTCCTAAATATATTTTTAAAAACCCCAAAAAACTCAGCCCTAATACTGTCTTCATGACCAATTTACTCTATCCAGTGACTGGCGTGACTGTGACTGGCTTGCAAATATTTGGGACCTTTATTAGGCCTGATAGTGTCTCTTGGGACAAATGAGCTGACCAGCACCTTCCCTGGGGCTTCGGGGGCTGCATTTCCGACCTCCTGTCAACCAGGCTCAGGAGACACCCTCCCTCTCATGGCTCATCTGCACCTCACCACCAGGGTCGACCATCTCCAGAACCATAGGCCCTTGGGAAAATTCACAGGAAGTTGTTGGTTCTTCCTGACAGGGCCCATGTGGTCAGGAGATTGCCCTCTCCTCCCTTCTCAGCGTGCCCGGTATACTTGGGTTCTTTTTTCTCTTGCCTCCCTTGGAAAGAATCTTTTTTTTTTTTTTTTTTTTTTCAGAAACAGGGATTGAACTCAGACCCTTGCACTTGCCAGGAAAACACTTATTTTACTGAGCCATCTCCCCTACCCAAGGCATTTAATTGGCATAGCATATTCCTGGTGTGTGTGTGTGTGTGTGTGTGTGTGTGTGTGTGTGTAACCAGGGATTGAACTCAGGCCCTTGTGATTGCCAGGCAAACGCTTATTCTACTGAGCCATCTCCCTGGCCCTTCCCTTAGAAAGAATCTGATAGATTGGTTCACACTCAGATGCAGACCGCTAATAAGGTGCACAGTTCCTTTCCTGGGGTGTTTCATTTTAGAGACAAAGATTGAAGCTCAGTGGCACTGTTTCCATTTGCAAGGAGCTTGGAAGGAGGGGGTTCCCCCACACTGGAGTGAATGTCAGGGCCTGCCTGGGCAAAGTTCTTCCATGTACTCACAAAGCAGCCTAGGGCCCATTCACCTGTTCAGCACCTGCTCTCCCTGGAGGACTAGGGGTGGGGCTGGGGCATGGTGGGGGGATAAAGAGGTGCCCATTATGTCTGCTTTGCTTCCACTGTCTTCTCTCTTTAGTCCCTCTAGGTTCTACCCAGTGTCCCGCCGGGTCCCTGACTATTATGGCCCCTTCCCATCCCAGTATCCCGATGATTACCAGTACTACCCACCAGGGGTGCGGCCCGACAGCATCTGCTCCATGCCCGCCTACGATCGGATCAGCCCCCCCTGGGCCTTGGAGGACAAGCGCCACTCCTTCCGCAACGGGGGCAGCCCTGCCTACCAGCTGCGCGAGTGGAAGGAGCCTGTGGGCTACAGCCGACAGGATGGCACAGTCTGGATCCCCAGCCCCTCCCGCCAACCAGTCTACTACGATGAGCTGGACGCTGCCTCTGGCTCCCTACGCCGTTTGTCCTTGCAGCCCCGTTCCCACTCTGTGCCCCGCTCACCCAGCCAGGGCTCCTACAGCCGCGCCCGTATCTACTCCCCCGTCCGCTCACCCAGTGCCCGCTTTGAGCGGCTGCCATCTCACAGCGAGGACATCTATGCTGACCCTGCCGCCTATGTGATGAGGCGATCCATCAGCTCCCCCAAGGTGAGCCGCCTGCCCGCCCTCCTTCCTCATGCCCCAAGACCACATGGTGAGAAGAGGTGATGATGCTGGGCGTCTGGGACATGAGCTGTCTGTCTGTCACAGGACTGGTGATCTACCCAGAGCAGCCACTGGCCTGCAGCTCCCTCCCTAGGAAAGCTCTCTGGGGGACTGCTGTGTCCTGAGTAGGGACCCTGCTCTCTGCTCCCATCTCCAAGTCTGCCAGGCACTGTCCTATTTACGGGAAGGCAGACGGGGTCTGTCTTTTCTGATCTTGAGCACTTGCACCAGTTATTGCATGTGGGAGCTACTGTCCATATTCATTTGAAATCTACTCTGGGACAAGATACAGACATCCCTAACCTTGAACTGCAGCTGGTGGGGAAGTCCATGTCCTAGCCCGACCCTCTCATGTCTGCAATCCCCTTTCTCTTCCAGTATGATTACCTGGGAGACAGGCGGCCAGTCCCTGCAGGACTGTTCCCCTACAACTACCCACCATCCCCCACGGTCCACGATAAGATGGTACGTCCTCTCCTCCCCTCTGCTCTGCCTCAGGACCTCTCCTCCCTGCCTCCTCCCAAGGCAGAGCTGAACGAGGGAATCCTGTGCCCAGTGCCTGGCCTCTGTGTTTTTAAGCAGCCTCTGGATACCTCCTCCCTCCCAGCCAGGCCTCTACCCCCAACACAGAGTTCAGTGCCGAGGCAGAGGAGAGGGACAAGATCCAAGAGTGTGTAATGTCCTGGTCCTGCACAGTTCAGTACAGCCCTCCTCCCCAGCATGCGGGAGAAGGGCCAGGCTGAGGGGTCCTGGACTGTGAACTTGGCACAGAGTCAGCCTAGAACTCCAAGCAACAGACAAGAGCATCTAGGCTTTTTCTCCCCAAGTGTGTTTGCTTCCAGTTTGTCCTTTGCCTAAAATGTGACCCTTGGGGGCAGAGGCAAGTGGTATGATTGAAAGAGCAAAGATTTTTCATGTGGCACTCTCCTAAGAATGTGTTCCCCTGAGGATTATCATCTATCTCCTCCTGGGCAGCAAGGTGCAGGTGCTCTATTTGAGCAAGTAAAAGGAGCTGCAGAGACCCACAGGTGAAACCATTGTCCCACAAGCGGCTCCAGGAGGCTAGGGGCCTCCATCATCCCACTCCATTCTCATTTTGCCTGTGTCCAGATTCTATAGCCTTGGCCCACAGCAAATGTCGCCCTCCCGGAACAATGGGTTTTTCTAGAAAACTTAGAAACAGCTGCTAAGACGTGCTGATTAGATGGCTTTGGTGGTGCTTGATGATCCCAGAGAGCGTGAGGTAGACCCGGGAGAGACGATGGAGTTGGGGCCCGGAGTGCATCTTTCCACCCACAGCCGGCATCCTCACCACCCCAATCCCCAGTACTCCTCAAGGGTCAAGAGAAGCATATCCTGATCCATGCCCAGCTAACTCTTAACTGCTTTGCTTCTTTTTTATTGTTTTCTTTTGTGTGTTCCTGTTTGTTTGTGTTGCTGGTTGGCCCCTTGGCCTCGGGCTCCGGGTAGGATGAACTTTTAGATCTTCAGTTGCAAAGAAACCTAGAGTTTTTGGACCAGCAGGTAGGCAGAGCTGGTGCCCTCACCATCTCACTGCCCTCCCGTCGTGTCTCTTTGCCCCTCCCAACCCCTCATCCTCCAGCCATCTGATAACCTTTGTTGGTGCCACCAGGACACAACAAAGTGGCTTATATTTTGTTTTGCTCCTTCTCACCTCTCCTTTTCATGGCCCCTTTAGGCAGCTAGGGGCTTACTGGGGAAAGAAGCATTAGAAATGGGCACATGAATAATTAATGCCACCCCAGATTTTTCCAGTCTTCAGCCCAGATGGAACTGCCCCCAGAGGGCTGGTGGGAATTTGCACTTTTTTCCCAAGAGAGGAGGGAGTAGTGAGAGACTGGGGTAAGCTCTGGGTTTGAGCCTTACATGCTAGGGATTTAGTTCAGCCTGAACATAGGAAATCACATATTCTGCAGGTTGTTGTTAAACTCTGTAACTTGAGAGCTGAGGTCTGTAGGGCTGCCCTAAATTGATTTAATTCAATGTACTAATTCCTCAACAAAACTCTTTTGCATATACAACTTCTGACCCCAAAAATTCAGTGCAGGAGACACACACAGTGATCTTAACCCAGTCTGACAGATGAGCAAAGTGAACAGGTACTGTAGGAAGTGTCTGGCTGCCCCGGCTCCAGGATGCAGGCTCTAAGCCCTGGCCTCTACCTTCGGCGGCAAACAGGGCTGTGACACTTGCTTATCTTAGACAGGCAGGAGACCATTATGCCGGCACTTCTACACAAACACATTCTCTGTCCAGGCCTGTGCTAGACAGCATGAGGGACCTGGAGATTCATGGCATTGCCCCACCGGGCAGCCTGGGATGACGCAAACAATAACAGAGATGATGGCAGCGATACCATAATTCAGTGCTTTCCCCATGCCTCAGACTCTTCTAAGCAGAACTGGCCCCAGCTTATTTAATCCTCATAATCTACAAGATGGGCGCTATTATTAGCTCTCTTTTATAGCCAAGAAACTAAGGCACAGACACATTAGATAACATACCAAGGACACACAGCCATGAGCAGCAGAGCTTAGAATGCAACTGATGTTTCAACCCAGTTTACAGCTGAGGAAACATCTGATATGTGGCAGCCGGGTGGAATTCATCAGGATGATATCATTTTCTTAAAGTTGCAGAAAGAACCATAAATTGAGATTGGAAGGTCTAGATGCAACTGTATGTTCTTCTAGTCACGAGCCATGGGACACAGCGCCTCCCAGGGCCTCTGTGTCTTGATGAGCTTCTCCTTGGAAGACCTTGGACTCTGGGGGGAAGCACAGACATCTACCGCTGAGCCCACAGAGGTGGCCCCTGGCTTTGGAGGACCTTGTATTCTTGTTCTAAAAGGACCACGCATTGTGTCCACACCATGAGCACCCTGATCCATGTGGAGACAAATCCCTGGATGGTTCTGCTGAGTAGGCTGTGAAGAGCAGGATGGTTCCGGTGGGAAGCCAGGCATGCGTGCCTGGGAGTAAGGACCCGACCCTCAGGCTCCCGGGCAGGCTGCCCTCCTGGAAGCCACGTCGTTGGTTTAAATCGTACTCTAATGACCACTCCTGGCTAGCCACACATTCAGGACATGGGGGCTGGGTTGTTAGCCTGGGACTTCAGAAATAACCTTGCAGAAGGGGCTGGGGAGATGGCTCTGTGGAATAAGCGCTTCCCTGGCAAGCGCAAGGGCATGAGTTCAATCCCCAGTTCCCCCCCCCCCAAAAAAAAGAAATAACCTTGCAGAGAGACACCCCCCCCCCAGCCCTTCCAGCCCAGGAGAAAGGTAATGAGAGGCAGATTTGTGTGATGAGGACAGCATGGATCCTGCCACTCTAACCCTAGCTCTGCCATTTCCAGGGATTTATAAAAACACCTTTGAAATGCCACCTATTCTCTCTGAGTCATTTTCTCAGTTGCCAGATGAGCTGTGCAAGGCTGGCCAAATAGCTCAGTGGATTAAAGCACCTGCGAGCAGGTACAGGGACCAGGGGTTCAATCCCCGGGGCCTGCCCTGCTGTCCCCGCCCCCAGGGCACACTGAGATGGCAATTGAGACTGGGCATGGTGGCACACGCCTATAATCCCAGCTCTTGGGAAGCTGTAAACAGGCGGATCACTACTTGAGTCTGATCTAGTAGTGGGACCCCAAACACCCTGTAGATCCTTCCCTAAAAAACATACAAAGAAAAACATGAGCTGTGCATCCTGCCCTTCCACCTCACGGACTTGGTGGAGAATCAAATGGGACAGTAGCCAGGAGCTCTTCATGGCTCCACTTGGTAAGGAGTGGAGATTGCTGCTGCCATTGTTTTAGTATCTTCCAAAACTCAATCTCAAAGTACTTGGACATTTTAGAGGCAGAGGTAGTAGCACACAGGCATCACCCTAGAGGAGAGGCCCTTGTGGCAGAAAGATCCCCAAAACCACATCGCAGGTGAAAGCAGGCCGAGATAAGGACGTTCTGTTGCCTGCCTTTGCTGCAGACTGCTTGCAGGGAGGCCTGAGTCAGTGCTCTGGAAGAGCCTGGGCCTCGCTTGTCTTTGCCCTGCCTGACGGGGGTCGGCTGACCGAGTGCTCTTTGCGTTCAGCTGTGCACACGTGCGCTGTGAGGAGATGCGAGACGGGCTTGAGTTTAGATACCGTTAGAGAAGATGTGTTTGGCGTCCTGGTGCCTTTTGAACTCTTACAAGGCCTCAATCTCATATAAATGTGTTCTGTAAACCTTTTAAGTTGTACTTTATGCCAGAGGAAAGATTTATGAATAGGCCAAAAAGGTAGAAAACTGAGGTCCTAGGAAAGGCTTGTGAGGTACTGCAGACCTTGCAGCTGCGGCTGGAGAGTGCCTTGCCCTGCTTGGCACACGGAAATGGCTGCACTGGGGCTGTGGCCTAAAAGGGACTAAGAGGGAGAAGAGACAGTGGCCCCATCTAGAATGGGCAGGACACAGAAAAGACTGGGAGCCCAAAGAATTTCTCAGACATGACTGTCCTCCTCTTGGTCTTTCCCCTGAAGCTTTTCCCACATACCTCCCTGTCTCCCACCTTCTCCTGTGGAAGGGTAGAGTTAAAGGGACACAGCCCAAGACACTCCCTGATAAGCTCACTTCTGATCCTCTCACGGCAGCACTATAGGAGGAAATGATGGCCTTTCTGGTTGATTTGGTTGGCCTTCCCTTGCCCTCTCCCCCTTGTCCCCTCCCTCCTTTTGTCTATTTCATTTGGCAAATAGTCTTTCCCCCTCTGTTTTCCTAATGATTCTTGAAAAATGCAGGATGACGTGGTAGAGAGCAGTGTTCTGATATTTGGTGTCCCTTTAACGTGGCTGCCTCCTTTTTTGCTCCTGGCACCATCCCAAATCCTTCTGCCTTCTGCCAGCCCAGCTCTGGAAAGCCTGTTTATCAATCCTTGTGTAGTAGTCAGTGTCTTGGGCAGCGGGGTGACAGGGGCCTGTGCCTGCGGGTCTGTGCAGGCTATGTGGAGAGCAGGTCCCAGGTGTCTCTTTCAGTTGTTTCATTTAGTGCAGATTTGGGGAGGTCAGTCTTTGAGCTGTGAGGTCTTTGTCCAAAGCAGCATGAGAAGTGGGAAGGAGGTGATAGTCCTGGCCAGGGTGCAGGGGACCACGGCAGTGAGGCACCCCAGGGAAGAGTCCCTGGATTGGGCGCTTCGTTCAGACCCAGTGGCCTTCCAGTCACCTGGTATGGCTTTTCCTCCAGCACTGGTTCTGAGACAGAGTTAACACAGGGCTAGGGATAAATGAGACCACGCCCAAGCTCTGGTGGTGCAAGAAGAGCTGTCCTCCCCTGCATCCTGAAGGCAAGCATAGGAGTGTGGTAAAGCTCTTGGGCGTGGGTCTGAGTGTGAATCGTCCATTCCTTCCTCTGCTGCAGATGAGTGAGAGCGAGACTCTCATCAGTATGGTGAACCGCATGGTGGAGAACTCCTCCCCCAGGGCCCAACTCTTCGTGCAAGTAAGACCTCTGCCTGGCAGCATGGTCCCTGTCAACACCATCTCAGCTGCTTGTGCATGGTCTGGTCGCCCCATTCGGGATGAGCCTGCCTCTGCCCAGCGTGTTCATCTGCCAGGCCTCATCTCCCCAGAGACAGGCTCAGCCTGCTCCTCCACCCCTCACTTCCCTGTGTCACCTCCATTCTTCATGTTCATGGGTAACCCCAAGGCCCACCTCCTGAACCATCCAAATAGCTGGCACCAACATCTCATGCCATGCTGGGGACTGCAAGCCTGCTTTTCAGTGTCCAAGCCTCTGATTCACATTTGCTGTCTTTTTGACAGATATTGTGGGTTTAAAAAGCATGAGGGGTAACACAGCCATCCAGCACCAGAGGTGTGCAGAATATGTGTGTCACTTGCAGTGTCACCAAGGCTGGGCAGTGTTAGCTGGCCCCAGAAGTGCTTCTGGATACTCGCCAGTCCTGATTTAGGCACAAACCTTGTGGCTTGTGCTCAGTTTACTAGGACAGTGTTCTCCAATATTCCCAGTGCTCATTCCTCCCTGCTTCTATATATCCTGACCCTGCAGCCAGCCAAGGCGTTTGCTGATATTCTCGTGGTTATTGCCTATAAGCCCTGCAGCCCCTGCAACCCCTGGAGTTTAGGGGAGTGGAGCTATAGAGCATGATTCCAGCAGAGTTCTGACCTTTCCAGATCAGCCAAGGACAACTGGGATGGAATCCAGACTGGGCTTCCCAACCTAGGGATACAACACTAGCTTGGGTCCCCAGAGGTGACAGGCCGCGGTACCTGGCAGGAACAGAGTCAGCATGCCGGTGCCCCGCATACCCTCGTCCTGCACCTGCTGTCATAACCAAGCTCATATTCCTGCAGGTCCCTCCGTACCCAGAAGTGTTCCGGGACAGCCTCCACACCTACAAGTTAAACGAGCAAGACACGGATGTAAGGGCAGCTCTCCCCGCTCCCTGCGTTCTCTGCAGCCTCCTGCTGCCGCTGTCTTCATCTACACTCTCCTCTGGGGCACTTTCTCCTTCTGGTCATGCATTTGGCTCACATTCTTTCTCAACACGAACACAACGTCCTACCTGCCTCCTCATTCCCCTTCTTTCAGTCTCGCATTGACTGACCCCTTCCCCCATGCTGGCCCCATGAGCTTTTTCATTCCACTCCAGGCCCACTTGTCGATGGTGGTGGGATCAGCTTATAGCAGAAATGCAGGTTTTGTTGGGAGGTGAATCAGTCTGCTCTGTGCAGTGTGGCATTAGTCCCTCCATGGAACTAGAAAGAGAAGTATGGCTTGCTCTGCCCTTGGGTCATGCAGGACACCAGGTAATAGTAGGTGGTAGCAGTCACTTGCCAAATGGGACCACTAAGCGTTTCTATAGGTGTGAAAAGATGTGGGGCCATGTGGGACAACAGGTTAGGAACAAAGCAGGTGGCATGTGAGCTGGCCTTGCAGGAGAAGGCCCAGAGGGTGAGAGATTTAGCTCAGTTGAAAGGATCAGAAGAGTGGCATGTGCATAGGCATGAATGTTCCAAGCATGTCTTTCTGGAAGAGGCTGTCCTCCCTGCCTCCCTCCCACCACTGCTGACCCTGCTCAGGCTACTGGGCAGCAGACCTGGGGCATTCCCGTGGACAGAGGGGCCAGTTCCCAGGAGGCCCTGCTTTTCTCTAAGACTGCTTATCCCAACCCCTGTCTGCCCCAGTCATCAGCAGAGGAGGTGGGATCATGGCATCTTCTCAGCCCTCTGTATCCAATTGCACCCCCCAGGATGGGGATGCAGGAGCATCATGGCAGGCTTTTGGCCCTCTTCTCTCAAGAATTGACTCACATCTCCCCTCCCAAGATGAAGTGTCCTCTTCCTCTTCCCAAGCACTTCCAAGGTCAAGGCCTGGGGCTACTCAGCAGGGAAGGAAGGTGGTATCCAGAGGCCAGGCCCTACCATCCCAGTCCCCACAGTCCCATCACACCATGTCCTTCATCCCTTCTCTCTCCCTCCTCTCCCCTCCCCTGGGCCCCCAGAAGCTGCTGGGCAAGTTGTGTGAGCAGAACAAGGTGGTGAGAGAGCAGGACCGGCTGGTGCAGCAGCTCCGAGCAGAGAAGGTGAGCGCAGGGGCCGCCTGCAGGTGGGGCTGGCTTGGAGGAGATGTGGGTTGCTTTCTCCATCCTCACCTACCTGGCAGAGCTTTGTACTGGCTTAATCATCTTCCTAAAACTGCTGAAGGTCTTCCAGGGGCCACATGCAGCGTGAGGACCACCTCCATGTGGTGCCTGCTCCAATCATTAGGGACTCAGGCCCGCCTATTAAAAACCCCAGAGGAGTGATCAGGGTAGCTCATGCCTTTCTGCAGGAGAGCCTGGAAAGTGCTTTGATGGGGACCCACCAGGAGCTGGAAATGTTTGGAAGTCAGCCTGCCTACCCTGAGAAGCTGCTGCACAAGAAGGAGTCCCTGCAGAACCAGCTCATCAACATCAGGGTGGAGCTGTCTCAGGCCACCACGGTAACCTGGCCCCCCCTGGTCTGTGCGCTCACTGCCTCCCAGTTCTGCCCCTTTAATCCAGATTCTCCTTGGAGAGCGAAAGCAGACTGCTCCTGCCTGGGAGGCACATAAGCAAAGACCTTGACATTTCTTGAACAGTAGACAGCAGTGTGTGAGCTTCCTTGTTCCAGGCAGTCTGCCTTAGCCGATGGGCTTCCTGCCCTCCAGCCTAGCTGTGCCAGGAGCCCTTTGATAGAGCATGAAGTTGACAGCTACTGATTTTCCTGGGCTGCTGTCCTCCTCCACTGCTCACTTATGCCCCCTTCCTTAGAGAAGAAGGCACTGGTGGAGATGCTGCTGCCTTATTTGTTTCCTGCTGGGTTTGGGGCAGCTCCTCCAATATAGACTGGTAATGAGGGACAAGAGGAACAGCAGCAAAGGCCCAAGCAAAATGTGGTCCAGAAAAGAGGACAGGGCATCAACTCCAGAGAATAACCGTTTTTAGGGCCTATTCTCCTTGCCCTCAATGGTGGTCTCCAAACCTAGGAAGCAAAAGGGGATACAGAAGTTGCCCATTTGGTATGTGCTCTCATCCCTCTTGTAAGGCTTGAATGAAGACATGGGGAGGCTTTGGTGACCATAGCTTTCTTGGTAACTCCCTCCCTGCAGGCTCTGACCAACAGCACTGTGGAGTATGAGAACCTCGAGTCCGAGGTCTCTGCCCTGCACGATGACCTCTGGGAGCAGCTCAATTTGGACATCCAGGTAAACAAGGGTCCAGAGCAGGTGGGGGGAGACCTTTCCCTGGTCCTTTTGGACAAAGCAGACCAAAGTGGTCTCCCTTCCCACTTCAGCAGCCTCAGAACCTTAAGATTAGGAGTTGGTCCTGAGACGACAATAAGGCTCAGGCATCTTAGAACAGACTCTAAGATCTAGGGTTAAAATAATGTGGGATCCTTCTTTATTTCCACCAGCTCATGGGGGAGGAGCTAAAGCCAAAGCATAGGAGACTTAGGTTACACATAGGTGAGTATTCTAGGCCTGAAGGAAACTGAAGGCCAGCCATGTAAATATAAATCTCTTGGAGGAAAAGCACAAGAGTGGCAATGTAAAGTCTTAGACAGAAACAGGATTTTCCTTCCTAGAATGTATTGGAAACAGTCACCCTGAGGAAAGAGAAAGATCAGTGGTCATAGGGGAAGTCTACTCTTCTATGTCTCCCCTTTCCCAGGTCCTACCTCTTCTCTGGCTAGTTTTGCAAGCCCCGTGTTTCTGATGCATGTAATACCTTGCTTTCCCCCACTTTCCTCCTGGTAATAAGCTCTCTTCCCTACCTTGCAGCTGGTTGGCAGGATTGAGATCCTCTTGATTCAGAGGGCCCAGGTGCCACCATGTCCCATAGGCAGGCCTCGCTCTCAACACGTGCATTTCAGGAGGTAGAGTAGGGCCACAGCCAAGACCACCTGAGTCAAAGCGACCCACATCCAAAAAGTGATCTGTATCGATTCGGTAGTAGTGAACACGGCTGCCTTTCTGTGGTGCTCACCACTTACCAGCAGTTGCTCATAGGCATGTGTCTCCTTGTATCTGATGTGGAAACAGCTGCTGTCCTTGTGCACAGTAATGTTGTGCAACTGGAATGATTTAGTACAAGCCAAAGGCTTAATTTGGTGCCTGGTATTGAGTGAGGGCTGTGTACATGGTAGCTCTTGTCTCTCACAGAGTGTAATGTGTAATCAAATACAGTTCACAACTTTGGCAGATGTTAGGTGTGGGTATTACAGAGGGGATGTTTGAATGCAAAGAAAAATTAAACAGAAAGCTCTTGCCCCAGCAAAATGGCCACTGCTTATAGGGGTGTTTACTCTCAGGCCACCCTGATCCCCCTGGGGTAGCTAAGAAAGGTAGGCCCTTACTCTCTTAGTCCTGAGGCTCTGGTAATTCTGGGGATGCAATTTTATACCAGTTGAAGTGGCACAGGGTGCTAAGGAGAACGATGCCTGTGCTGGAGAGGGGTGTGTGCACTTGTGTGCGTGTGCACAGGGCCAGGGTTCCCACCTCCTCCTGGTCCAAAGCGATGGAGATCCCAAAAGGTCCAGGCTGGGGCCCCCCTTGGAGCCACTGCCTCTGACTTGCTCTTTGGCTGTTCAGAATGAGGTACTCAACCGGCAAATCCAGAAGGAGATCTGGAGGATCCAGGACGTGATGGAGGGGCTGAGGAAGAACAACCCATCCCGGGGCACGGACACTGCCAAGCACAGAGGTGGGTGCCTCTCCAGGTCCTGGCCTGTCCAGAAATGGCCCGGCCTGTCTGGCCTCCATTCCACACCTGCCAACTCACACTGTACTCAGAGCCAAGCGGGTTCTTCTCAGGACCTAAATCTTCCCTGGACCTCGGGTGGTAAACGGGGCTCCCTTACCACCCACAGAAGAGACCAGGGAGATTGCTCAGCGACTCTTTCGACCTGCACACTCTAAATATGCCCCCCAACAAGGTCAAAGAGCCTCTGAGCCTTCTTGGCCTTTAAGCACATGCACCCAACTGGTGACCTGTCCCCTAATGCCTTCCTGGGCCCTCGGGCTGGCCCTCTGACACCTGGGAGCTGCTGTCATCTGTACCCTGCCCAGAGCCGTGTCCCTTGCACAATGCTCACCTCAAAAGCCAGCCTGTGACCCCAGCACCTGTGCAGTAAGTTCCTGCAGCAAGGCCAGTGGCCCTGAAAGGCTAAATCCCTCCTCCCCCATAGGTCTCTCCCCTGGCTCCTCCCATGGCACCCACTGACTCATCCTCTTCCATCCTTACCTCTCCCCCACTTTCTCTCTTGCTTTCCCCAAGGAGGACTCGGGCCCTCGGGCACCTACAGCTCCAACAGCCCAGCCAGCCCTCTCAGCTCTGCCAGCCTCACCAGCCCCTTGAGCCCCTTTTCATTGGTGTCTGGCTCTCAGGGGTCCCCCACCAAGCCGGGGTCCAATGAGGTAAGCTGGGAAGTGGAACGCAAGGTCGGCGGGAAGAGGAACAGACCCTCATCTGCCTGAAACGACACAGAAGCTGTGCCCATCTCTTCCCCAGAGGCTCCAAGCCCTAGACAGAAGCCTGTGGCTTTCTGTCTAAGGGAGTGGTTCTTGCGCTGGGCCACGACCTGCCTCTGGATTTCCCCTGTGCTTGTTCTCTCCAGCTTTACCTCCTTTTCAGGAAAGGCTCTTGCTGAGCACCAGGATGGTTAGCAAAGATACCAGACTCCTGATAGCGTTCCAGGGAGGAGAGGGTTGACAGTTGTTGGGGGAGAAATGTCCCAGCCACTTAAGTCAGTAGGTATTAGGGGGGCTGTCTTACAGGCAAAGGGTGGCACGAGGTCCTCAGACCCTCATGTGATCCCTGCAGCCCAGGATCCAGTGGGGACCGACACCCACTCGTAGTAAACCAGCAGCTACCAGACACTCTATGGTGCAGCCGGGTCCAGGCTGCCTGGGCTTTGAGGTTCCAAAGGAGAAAAAGGAACTAAAGGAGGGAAAATTGAAACTGGGCCTCTCAGCTCTCATATAGGCAGTGAGTGGACGAGTGAAAACCTTCATAGGCAGGGAAGATGGTGACGATAAAGGTCCCGGGGTAGGAGTGTGCCCAGCATGCTGCGGAAGCAGTGAGGTGCCAGCTTTGGGGGACAGTGGGAGCTGGGAGTGCTGGGCAGGCTGGGCACCATGGGAGCGGGTTGCCCTGCAGGCAGGGTGGGGCCTGGCATCCTGGGCCCGCCCAGCCCACCTTCCCCGGATGTTGTCTGTCTCACGCTAATGCTCTTTTCTCCTGCTCTCACAGTGGCTGCTCTTGTGCCTTCTAACACTCTGGCTTCTGGCTTCGTTCTCTCTGCCTCAGGAACCTGGGCCACCTCGGCCGCCCCTCCCCAAAGCCTACGTCCCCCTGGAGTCTCCTCCCACCGTCCCTCCACTCCCTAGTGAGAGCCGCTTCTGGCCATACCCCAACTCCCCTTCCTGGCACCGCAGTGGCAGTGGCGAGACAGCCAGGGGTCAGGTACCCAGCACCCCCTTGGGTTCTGGGGGGGTGGGGGGGAGAAGGGGCCAAGGGCCAGGCAGGAAGGCAGGGCAGGATGGGGGTCAATCTCCCCACTTGTCTTTCCAAAGCTTAGTTTCTATAGGGCCCCCTTCAGTGAACTCAGAGAAGGGCCCGAGGGCCGACCCAGTCTGCGGCTCTTTCCTCCTTTATTCTCTGTGGACAGTGAGGAAATGAGTTGCTGTCTAGGCCCTTTAACAGCCACCAGCTCTGGGAGCTGATCTCCTGCCCCACTCCCAGCCAGGGTGGCCAGCCAAAGGAAACCAAGCAATACCCACCCCAGTCCCGTTCCAGTCCCTTCCTGTCCCTTCACCCCCTGCCTCCTTCCCCAACCCTCATGTCTCCTCTCTGTGCCTCTGCCTTGCATTGTCCTCTACGGGTCTTGTGAGCCTTGGAGTGTCAGAACACAGGTTCCCTTCTCCCCTGTCCTGGTTCCTTCTCTCACCTGGATTTTCCAAGATCCAGGAGCTGGGCAGTTAGGCTTGGAAGAGGTTTTGTGGTGAGTAGAGTTTCCTCTGTCTGCTCCTGACAAATACATACACTGGAGTGGGCGCAGCCTTATGTGACTTGGGCAACCCTCCAGGGCTTTCTGGTGAGGTAGGCAGAGCAATGCTGGTACCAGACAGGCAAAGCACAGAGATGGGACGTTCCATGCGTGCCAGGTGGGTGAGCTGAGCTTTCTGCCCTCTACGCCAGCATCCTGGCTGTATTCCCCTCAACAAGACTTACAATTCTTCAACAGGGTGATGGGAGGAGCGGCCCCGAGAATGTCTGAGTTCCTTTTGGGCCTCATGATTCTGTGACTTCACAGCAGATGCGCTTTCATTTCCCCACAGTCCTGGCACCAAGGCCCACCTGTTTGTGTTTTCTCCAGTCTAGAGTGGACAGAATCCTTAGGAAGTTGAGGCCAGTGCTAGTGAACCAGATTTTAGAGGCGGAGGGCACAGACTGCAAATCAAAGCCCACTTATGTATATAGCCAAGTGCCAACAGTGCAGTTAAATCTGAATACTGAGGTTTTAGTTTAGAAAAAACCCAACTCGTACCTTGCCTCACGTCCCAGCAGAGAGGGCGCTGCATGTCCACTGTGTGCCGTAGGTTCGCTGCTGCTCTAGGCCAGTCCCTCACGGGATCATGGCAAATCTGTGCTTCTCAGAGCTTGGTGAGATGACTGGGTGGGTTGGGGGCTTCCCTGGTGGGCCTTGCCTGACCTCCTCCTAAAGACACTGGGCTCTCATTCCCCTCACTGTCCCAGTATCAGTGCCTGGGTACCAGTGTACCCTGTCCTACTTCTGAAACACATAGAATGTCACTCCCTGTGACTTCCAGGGTTTGAGGGGGGAGGCGATGAGAAGGTCACATTCCAGTTGTCACCCTAGCATCAACACCTTCTCATCCTTTCTCCCCAGCCCAAGGCAAGCTATGAGCAGAATAAGAAAGATCCTCACCAGACATCACCCCTGGATACCTCCAAAGACATCAACCTTCTGCCCACCAGGCAAGAGGTGGAGGCAGAGAAGCAGGCAGCTCTCAACAAAGGTACTTCCTAGCCTGTCTTCCCTTGGAAGTGAGCCTGAGCGTCAAAGAAAATCCCTAGGTGCTCATTCCCACCCAAAGAGAATGCTTACCTGCCCTGGGCCTTTGACCTCAGTGGAGCAAGCCTCTCCAAAGAATTTGGATGGGTAACTGGGGATTGAACTCAGATCCTTGCGTTTGCCAGTGAAGTGCTTATCCTACTGAGCCATCTCCCCAGCCCCAAGCCTCTCCAAAGAAGAAGCTCCACTGCTGCTCTGTCTCCCTACAGTTGGCATTGTGCCCCCTCGGACAAAGTCACCCACTGATGAAGAGGTGGCCCCTTCAGCAGTGATGAGGAGAACTGCCAATGGACTCACCAACGGGTTCTCCTCCCGGGTGAGTCTGGGAGCTCATGTGGGTTGGCCAGGCTATAAGCCAGGGCTCAGGAATGTGTCCACCTATCCACCATTATCACTCCTGTCACCCAGCACGAGGGAGGCAGGTATAATAAGTGAGGAGGAGAATTCTCCTTCCAGGAAGCATATCAAGGAACAAGGAAAATGGGCATCACCAATAGAGAGTGCACTCAGCAGAGTTGTCACATGCCACTGGTGAAATAAATAGATAGCAGCAAAAGCCAGTGGTCAGAGTCAAATGTACTAACCCAAGGAAGTGTACTAGTTTCCTGAAGCTGCTGAGAATTAACAAATTAGCACACACTGGGGAGTTTCAGCAACATACATTTGTCCTCTCAGTTTGAAGGCCTGAAGTCCAACTCAGGATACCAGCAAGGCTGGCTCCTTTGGAGACTCTGGGGGAGAAGCCACTCCACGCCTTCCCCTAGTTTAGGATGGTCCCCACACTGGCATCCTTAGCACTCTTTGTCTTATAGACATATTGAACCAGTCTCCGTCCCCATCTCCACATCAGTGTCTCCTCTTTGTCTTCTCCTTTTTCTCTGTCTCCTAAGGACACTTGTAAAGGATTTGGCCCATTTAATTCTGTGATCTTGAGATTCTTAATTAGACCCGCAGAGACCTATTTCCAAATAAAGTAACTAGAGGTATTTGGGGTTAGGGTATGGGTGCATGTTTTGGGGGCTGCTATCATTCAATACTACAGCCCCAATTTTCGTGCCGATCCCATCTGCAACATCCATTCCTGCTTTAACCATTGACTCTACCAACTCTTTTTTATGGAATAAGGAATTTATTTTTTAATTTTTTTTTGCTCCAAATGCCTTCAGGGCAGGTTTGACTGGCTTGAGTTGTGGGGATCGAACCACAGCAACCTGAGACTGACTGCTTTGTTGAAGCAGCCACTTAAAGAACTGAGCTAAGGGGCAGGCCCCCGACTCTACCAACTCTTTATCTTGAACATAAAAATATTTGTCTTTAACAGCAATTAACCACTAGGAAGAATGTATGTAATGTGTTAATTATTGAAACTGACCTACCAATTTGGTTTGAAACTGTCTCATCGCTATTTGTTTATCAATAAAATTATGGAAAAAAATATTTATCTTTAGCTCAAAAGCCCCAAATCTCATCAACTCAGCATCTCCATATGATCCATCTTGGTGCAGAATTTCTCTTTACTTGAGAAACTAGAAAATAAGTCAATCTGCTTCTAAAATACGATGATGAAACAAGTATGCTGTAGTCATTTGTGGGGCTAGGGAGATAGCTCAGCAGCGTAAGCACCTGTCTGGCAAGCACAAAATCCTGAATTCGAAAGGCATAGAGGATACCTGTCCCTAGCAAGTTTAAAATTTAGCAGAGATGATTCCCTTAGTTTGTGCAAACACACCAGGCCCTCTGTCACTGAGCTACACCCGCCACCCTGGGCTTTAAGACCTGAGAACAATCTATGGCTGGCTTGCCTACCCTAGGGTTAGTGAGGACTGCATTAGCCCTTGCTGGCAGGTCTCATCTATTTGTTTTTTGTATTTTTGGTTTTTGGGGGTTTGGGGGGGGTTTGGTTTGCTTTCTTGTTTGTTTTAGTACTAGGACTTGAACTCAGGACCTTGCACTTACGGGGCAGCCACTGTGCCACTGGGCTGCATCCCCAGCCCTCTATTTGGCCTCTGCTTCTCTAACTACAATTTTGCTTTCACTCTTTCTTTTCCATGAAGGTTAGCATGTGTTTGCAGGCAGTAGTTCTCTATTTCTTGCCTATAAAATCCCAGAAGTCAGACATTTTCCCCCTCCATCTTACCTGTTTCTCTTTTGCTGTGAGCTAGCAGTAACTTTGGCTAATATAACATCCTCAGAAACAGCTGTAGTCTCTTGTGTGCTTCAAGGGGATCCATTCCACTAAAAGAAAGGATTCCCTGCAGATGTTGCTGGATGGCCTAGTCTGTGTATGTTGAGGTCATGATGGCAGTCACGTGGCTCATCTCTTCAGCAGAATGCTGTGCAGACGCAGTCTTGACTCTCTCTTTAGGGCATGCTTTTCTTTTACCTTTATTTTGTTCGATGGTGTTGGCTTTTCTTTTTGTGGCTGGCTTAGTGTGCCCTGGGAGGGGTGGCTGGTGCAGCATTTCATGCCAGGATCAAACCACAGTCCCTGTGCTTGCCTAAGCAGGTGATTTAGACTGCTGAGCTATTTTGCTGCCCTTTCTTTTAATTTTTTAAAAATTTTATTAGACTACGGTTGTAGTACATAATGACTACATTTATTGTGGTGAGGGGTAGAGAATGAGACAAGGAAGTAGGAAGAGCATGCACAACATCCTCTTCAGCAATGAACTTTCTGATGGAAGCCAGAACCTTCCAAAAAACTAAAGAAGTCTCTTTTGGCCGAACCCTTCCTTCAGTCTATCTCTTCCATTTTTCTCCAAGTACAAAGAGGAGCAGGACGTACCTTTGCCTAGAAATATGCTTTCCATTCAATAATGGGCTACAATTTAGCCAAGTTTCTGCTACTTTCCTGCCCTCGCCAGTAACGTGCTCCTCATTTGCTTCTGAGACCTTGCCGGAAGCACCCTTCATATCCATTCCGCAGCTAGGCTCAGGTACACACGTATAATCCCAGCGTTGAGAGAGATGATGCAGGAGAATTGCACCTTCAGGACCTGCCTAGGCAACTCAGCTGACCCTGTCTCAAAATAAATAAAAAGGATTGAGATTGTTGTTCAGCAGAAGAGTGCTGGTATTAGATTCCAGTGGATGATACCCTGGGTATCTCACACACACACACACACACACACACACACACACACACACACATACACACGTCTATGTTTCTATCAACATTCTATTTATGATAATATGTATGTTCTTTCAGACAAAAGAAGCTCTCTCATTTTCTCTAAGCCTTCAGAATCATCATGTTTAACATCTCTATCTCTACTTACCATCTTTTTAAGGAAATATAGATTCCTTTCTGTCATTCAAAATTCTTCCATTCGCTACCCATTATCCAATTTCAGATCTCTTCCATATTTTTGGTGTTTTTTGCAGTAGTGCTGCACTTCCCAGTTCCAAAAATCCATATTAGTTTCCTAGGACTCCTGTAAGGAATCGCCACATAGTGGGTGCCTTCCAACAACAGAAATGGACTCTCTCATATATCTAGAAGCCAGAAGTCCAAGATTGAGATGTTGGCAGTTTGGTTCTCTCTGAGACTCCAGTGAATCTGGCCCAAACCTCTGGCCAAGCTCATCATAGCAAGCTGGCTGGGGCTGGCAGTAGTTGGGAAATTTTTTCAAGTGAATGGTTTGGTTCACACCAACCCCTTCCTCCATCTTCACATTACCTTCTTCTCTGTGTTGTCTTTCTCTCTCCTACAATGACACTCATGATTGGATTTAGGGCCCACAATTGTTTATTTCCAAATAAAGTTGCATTATAGGTCCTAGGGGTTAGGACTTTAACCTATCTTTTGGGGACCACTGTTCAACCCACTGTGGGCGGGCTTCCCATAGAAGGGAATGATAAGGCATTAGAGTGGGTGTGGAGCCTGGATGCAGTGTGAAAAACCTGGCGGAGCCTTGCTTCCCCACTGCAGCAAGAGCGCCCCAAGAGCGCTGTGTTCCCTGGCGAGGGCAAGGTCAAGATGAGCGTAGAGGAGCAGATTGACAGGATGCGGAGGCACCAGAGTGGCTCCATGAAGGAGAAGCGGAGGAGCCTGCAACTCCCGGCCAGCCCAGCCCCGGAACCCAGCACGCGACCCACCTACAAAGTGGTAATGTCCTCCCAGCAGCTCAGGGGCTGGGGCCTGGCCTCTAGCCCCACTGCTCACTCTTAGGGCATGGCCAGCCTGTGCCAGGAAAGTAGGGGAGAAGGAGATGGGGAACTCACGCTGAGCAGGATAGTGAGGCGAGGCTTCTCCCCATAGGGTAAGTGTCCCTTCAATAAGGATCTGCCCTATATGTTTTAAAAACGTACATACAGAGGAACAAATAATTATTTTTGCTGAAATGAATTATACAAAATCCACTAAATAGACAATACAATATCCACCATGCAGAAACAGCGTTAGATGCGTTTCTGGAGCGACCTTCTCTGTGCTGAGCATTGGTCTGGGCTTACCCACGACAGCTGCAGCAGCTCATAGGGCAGTGTGCTCACACACCCCTTTCATGCTTTTGTTTAATCTGTTTTTCAGCACTTGGTTGGGAATTATTGTCCCAGCTACACACATAAGAGAAATATAGGAGTTTCTGGGCCACACACTGCTAAATGCAGAGGTGGGAGTAGGCCAAGGTGTCTGCTCAACTTTTCTTTCCACTACATTTTAGAGATTCAGAAAAATAATGATTCATAAATCCTGCCCTCTAACAATTTTACATGCCAGTTGATGGACTGAGAATTCTATACTATGAAACAATCAAGAATCTAAACAAGACTCTCAGATTTGAATGCATGCAATACGTGGCACAGAATGGGAATACAGGGCACAGTAGGATGGAGTGACAGGTACCGACAAAAAATGCTGATGAGATTTTTCCTGTGGGGCCCTGAAGGTGGGACAATTTGAGAAAGCCATAGGGAAGGGAGATGGGCATACAGTGGAGGGCATTGAGAGCATGGGCATCAGAGACAGTGAGGATAACAGGTACAGTTAGAGCCACCCGGAGGCCGAGGTGGCAGTGGCTTCGTTGAGATCGTGGGCTCCCCTAGGTGCGTCGTCATCGCAGCATCCATGAGGTGGACATCTCTAACCTGGAGGCAGCCTTGCGTGCAGAAGAGCCTGGTGGCCAGGCCTATGAGACACCGCGGGAGGAGATTGCCCGGCTTCGCAAAATGGAGCTGGAGCCCCAGCACTATGACGTGGACATCAATAAGGAGGTATGTGATGTCCAGGAGGGGACCACAGGTAGGAAAGCCCTGCAAGGGAAGGTGGCAGTGACACCAGTCCCTCCACAGCTCTCCACCCCAGACAAAGTGCTCATCCCTGAACGGTACATTGACCTGGAACCAGACACTCCCCTGAGCCCCGAGGAGTTGAAGGAGAAGCAGAAGAAGGTGGAAAGGATCAAGACTCTTATTGCCAAGTCCAGGTACGGGGCCTGTGCAGACCTGCACTCCTGCTGCCCTCCCTGGCACCCGGGCCTAGGTGGGGTGCTAGATGTTGTGGGAGCACTGGGCCTGCAGGAGAGAGCGAGCGGAAGCAGTGGCTCGAGGCACAGAGTGGCCCCGGAGCGGGGCTCAGGCGCACAGTGCTGCGAAGACAGAGCTGAAGCTGCTCTGCTGACTTCTCCCTTTCAAGGGGGTCCTAAGAGGTCCCATGAACCTTTGGATTCATTTGAAAACATTGAGGGTAGGGGTCCCCTCTGCTTTGCCAGGGTCCCTCTCCTCAGGACAGCCTTGCTGGGCACCAGAGGCTGTGCACTCACAGGCCCCGGCCCTCCCCGCCAGCCTCGGTCTGCAGACCACCCCAAGCCAATCGGACCATGCTGTCCCCCTCCATGTCTGTGTGTCTGTGCCTCTTCAGTATGCAGAACGTGGTGCCCATCGGCGAGGGGGACTCTGTGGACGTGCCCCAGGACTCAGAGAGCCAGCTGCAGGAGCAGGAGAAGCGGATTGAAATCTCCTGCGCCCTGGCGACCGAGGCCTCCCGCAGGGGCCGCATGCTGTCTGGTGAGAGGGGCTGGGCCTCGCTCTGCCAGGGAGACCAGCTGACCTGCTGTAGGGGAGGAAGCCAGCCCTGCAAGGGGGACAGGGACAGAGAACGCAAGGCCAAGGACATGGTCCGCAAGGTCAGGGTGAACATTTATTGAGCACCAGGCACTGTGCTAGGCCCAGGGGAGTGCAGAGGGGCCAGAGCTGCAGACACCCAGGGAGCTGTGCTGAGCCTCACATGGGCTGGTCAGAGGCCGAGGGGCACACAACAAGCCATCCTGCCTTGGCATCAGGGCAAGGCATAGAGAAAAGATGGTAACCAGTTGTGGAGGGAGCGCCAGGTACTCTGGCTACCCTTTTGCTTCCCATTCTTGCTCCATGCAAGTAGGAAGAAGGAAAGGAAAATAAAAAGAGAAGATGGTCAAGGACTGAGTCGTATAATCCTCACTTTGGCCACTGACCCAAACCCACTTTCCTGCTGAGCAAAGACAGAAATGAGGGCATGGCTGCACCCGTGCACCAGGGTCTGGTAGATGTGATGGTGGAAGTTGACAGGACTCATTTCTGCCGGTGTGACCAGGCTTTGCAGAATGAAAGCCACTCCCTATGAATAGGGGTAGGCAGAGGGGAAACTGGCTAAGACATGGGCCTGAGCCTGTCCTTATCCAAAGTGAGGACTTCGAAGCCACAGCTGAGAGAAGTGATACAGATTGAGGACTTTGGCCGAGGAGCGAGACCAAGCATGCAGTCCAGAGTTGGAGCAGCCTAGGAAAGAGGCAGGCCGTGTGCAGATAAGAGCCATGGCAAGGGGCAGTTAAAGGGGTGACAGTCCACACTGGTGATTGAAGGAGGCTCGAATTCTACCATTCTGAGGCTGTTTCCTCTCCTGTATAATTCACACCAGAATCCTTGGCTGCAGTTCAGGCGGGTGGCTGAGGGTCAGGAGCAACACATGCCAAACTCCTAGCACCGTGCCTGGCACTTAGTGCTCAATAAATGAGAACCAGCAGTAGTAGCATAGCTGTGATTGTGACAGTGGTGTTGGTGATGTTGGTAGAAGTAGTTGAAGTAGCAGTAGCTGAAACTGGAATAGGAACCACCAGTGATTTTTCTAATTATTTGTAAATATAGATATCTTCAGAAACCAGAGAATTGTAGGCCACAACAAAAGGGATTTAAGTAAGATCTAAGGGAAAATCTGTAGGAATAAGGAACTTTGGAACTGGATGCCAGGGAAAGCCCCCAGAGGTCCTTCAGAGACAGACTGCTAGTTGGGCCTGAGCTGAGGGGACAGAGGAAGCCTGTCCCGCAGCCAGAAGGCAGTAGAACCAGTTTGGCTGCAAGCAGGGAGGCCTCCGTTGAAACTCCCTGTAGTTTAACTGCAGAATGAACTCAAATCACCCAAAGATCAAATTCCACATACTCTGGGCAAAAGTCAACTTCCTGTTTCAAAAGTGTAGAGAATACCATGCATTTAAAAAAACAGCTTCACATTGCTCTGCCTCAACCCTGGCGCACTCTGCCACAGCTCTCCAGCCCCAGGTTCTAGGAAAACAAGCCCACCCTGCCTATCAGATGTCCCTCTCCATGCACAGGGGCTTTCATTTCAGGGTCTGTGCGCTGCTAGCAAATGGTCACCTTGCTTGTGCCAAAACCCCAACTATGTAAAACATGGCTGTGGTAGGGCCAGACCTCAGACCTCGCCCACTGTTCCCATTGCCCCTGGCTTGCGGCCCAGATCCCCCAGAGCAAGAGCTCGTTCTGGGCATGTGTGTCTAGGCGTAAGTTCATGCCCAGGATGCTGTGGGAGGGGCAGTGCTGGGCACAGGTCACAAAGACAGTGTACAGCAGGCACAGGAAGTGGAGTTCAGTGCCTGAGTGCAGGTTTGCGGCAGCAACAGCGTGATCAGTGATGAGCGCGGTGAAATTCACCTGCTATGTGCAGACGCAAGACGCAGCATTTCTGAGTTTTGCACCAATGCCACACGCAGGGTCTGTGTCTGGTTGTGTTTGTAGACACAAGTGTGTTTGTGCTCACGTGGGCAGTTGCAGGTGGAGGAAATGTAGGAGTACAGGGTATGTATGTGTGTGCATACCCAGTGTCGCTGGGTGTTGTGTGGGGACCTGTGTGGGGGTCAGGCTGGAGCTGGTGAGTGGCTAGTGTGTGGGTGTGCAGAGACATGAGTGCACAATGTGGGTGGAGGCGGCATTTGTGAGTGTGCATATTTATGAGTGGTGGGCTTTCCGTACAGTATGAGCGATCATAAAGCACTCGCATGCATGTATGCTAGCATTTGTGAGCGCGTGGCCGTGTGTGGGAGAGCGGAGCCCCATGCATGTGAGCGTGGATGTGTGCATCACTGCTCCACACAGGAGCGGTGGTGCTCAGGACCATACATATGACAAGATCATGTCTGTCCAGCCCGCACCTGACACACATACAAATTTTAACCAGCTTGATGGTTCTATTCCTAATACACATTTAATATTCTTTTAAAGAAGGTATATAATAACTTTTCTTCTTTTAATATTATGGCAAATAATCCTTTTATAAAAACCCATTTTATGAGTATATGTTTTTGATATAGTAATGACACTTTTGTTGTGGGGAATATACATAGATATATAGATATAGATATATAGACACATAGATATATAGATATATAGATAAAATCCTGATCATTTTTACTCGTTTTCTCCCACTCTTCCCTCTCCCTCCTTCCTTGTAGCCCCTTCCCCACTTCCCACCTCTATGAAATACCCTATTTTTCTGACTCCTATGAAGGGCATTTGTGTAGATCTCTTTGAAGCCATGTTGAATGTTTCTGAATTATTATATTTTTAAAGCTCTGCCTGCTTTTTTAAAATTCTCTCTTCAGTTGTACTTTCTGAACATTCCGTGGGACTTTCCCCACCCCACCCCCACTTAATTTTCCTGTTTCTGGTCTCCTATGGGCCAGATAGGTCATAGGTCAACATCCACAGGTCAGCACCTATTAGGAGACAAAAGGAGCTCCACCAGGCGCTGCCAGGAATAAGTAATAAGAGTCTCGGCCCATGCGTGCTACAACATGTATTGTGGTTTCTTTGGGTATTCTTTGCTTAGTTGTTGCTTTTTGACTGTTTCAGTTGAGGTTGCCAGAGAACTATCAGTTGGGTCAGCAGTGTGGCTCTGCACACAAATGTGTGTTTGAAAGCATCTGTGAGTGTATTTGTATGCGATGCTCCACATACACTGGGCCCCTTGGGAGGACACGGGCATGGGATGCCTGGACACTCACCTGTGGTCTCTGAGTTGCGTGCAGGGAGTGTCCCACATCCCAGGCTGTGTGTCGTGTGCAGGCAGATACAACCTCACGTGCGTGGAGAGCTCAGTGGGTGTGCCCAGATACGGCAAGACTGTCCTGGCCCTTCCTGTGCCACCGAGGGCAGGAGAGGTGATGAGGCCAAAGTAGGGCTCTGGGGAGCAAAGGACTGAGAAGTTCAGTGTCACATCCCTCTTGTTGGAAATGCAGTGTGACCCTGGCTGAGGTCTGGTTCTTCTCTGAGTCCACATGCAACGACACCCTCTACCTCAAGGTCCTCTGGCGCCTGCTCTCAGCTACACTGAGGGTGTGCTGGGGCGTGGTGACCACAGACCACTGTCCCCAGTGATGGACGCCCTTTGCACTGTCCTTCCACTTCACTGTTCTCAACATGGAATAATAATGATAATAGAGTAAAAGTCTCACTAATCCAAATAGCACTCTTCTGGGGTTGGTGTGATGGTTCAGGTTTGTGGGGCGCAGTTGCCTTTACGTCTTGTGGGAAAGAGGGTCTTACGTGATGGTAGGGCGCATGTTTCTGAACCCATGTGTAAATTTAGAGAACTGATTTACATTTTCCAGAAAGCTTTGATTCATGAAGTGACTGACTTCATGAACTGGGATGGTGAGGTGGGGAGTGGTCACTTCCCATCTACTTGCTCACGAAAACTTGGATTAGTGTGATTTTACTGCACTGTTAATCATTATCATCAGTGACACCGCTGTCCCACGGCTGCCACCCCCTCTCTGTCTGCACGGTGTGAGGGGTGTGTGCGTCCCCGTGTGGATGGGACGGGAGCCTTCAACCCAGAGAGCCCCCAGCCTCACTCAGAGTCACACTGGTTCTTAGTGGAGCCTGGATTTAGCCCGGCTCCTGGATGCCTGGAACAGACAGCTTCGCCTCCGCCTCCGCTTGAGCCAGCGCCCCTCCGTGCTGCTTGCCGCCCCGCCTTGCTCCCCGCCTTGCTCCCTGCCTGCCCGTGGAGGGTCCTCGCTGCTCTGGGTGCACAGCCGCCCCACCCCCGCCCCACCCCTTTTCACCACCCTGTTCATTTCTGTTCCAGTGCAATGCGCCACCCCAAGCCCTCCCACCTCCCCCGCCTCCCCGACTCCACCAGCCAACCCCCTCTCGTCTGAATGCCCGCGGGGCGCCGACAGCAGCCATGCCTTGCGGGTCTGAGCTCGACGTAAGCACTTTTCTACTGTATTCCACCTGCCCCCCAGGGAATGGGTCCCCCTTCCTTGTCCCCACTGAGCTACCTTTGCCCCCTCATTCCGACCTTGCTTCTCCCCACCCCGTCCCCTTGGCGCTCTCCCTTCCCTTGTCTGCTTGAGCCCACAACGTCCCTGTGCAGTGCTGGCTGCAGCCGCCTGGCGGTGCTGCTTCTTGGACAGGGCGAGGCCAACCGGCTTTGCTTCTCCAGAAGCAGACAGGAGATGGCGCTGCGCCCTCGCCTGGCCACCCTCTCCCCGTCAGCCCCGTTTCCTTCTGCTGAGATACACAGTAGTCCTGCCACAGACCCCTCAGAAGCCCCCGGACCAGGTCCCAGCTCCCAGACTACTGAACGATGAGAGACCCCTGGGCCTGTAGCCCTCGGCTTGTCCCCGCCCCTGCCCACAGCACAGGGCCACCCGGCAGGCAGGTGGGGAGGACCACCATCCTGGTGTCTCTGCCCCTGTCAAGACAGTCGGCCACTGGCAGCTACATAAAGGCTTTTGCGACCTCAGGAGCCTAGCAGGCTGCCTGGCCTTTGTGTTGCTCTTCTCACCCCCTTTCTCTTTTTCCAGTGCAAGCCCTGGCTGAGGCCAATGCTGTGAAGCTTCACAGAGCCACGTTCTGAAGCATCCTCCGGTCCTCCACCCGGCTGAGGCCCTGGCCACCCGCCTTGGCCCCACCCCCGCGCGCCCATGGGAGTGCCACACGGAGCCAGGCTGGGGATCAGGCTGCTGCCAAAGGAGTGTGACGCTTACAGCCCCACCACTCACACTGTGGTCCTAGAGGGAATGGGGATGGTGAGGTGGGGAGGCTGCCCTCTCTGCTGCCCGGGTCACAGGGAGCCCCAGCCTGGCTCTGGCTGGCAAGGTGGTAGCCCTACTCAAACATTCCCTGCTGGAGACTAGAGGTCAAGGGGAGTTGGACCCTCAACACCAAGGACAGGACCTGCCCTCACCAACCCTGCCATCTGCCCTAGCTGTGCTCCAGGCTCTGCCACATCTCTGCTGACAGGGATTCTTGGGGTTCTGTGGAGACCAACCACCCTGCTTGAGCCAAAGACAGGAGGATAAGTGAGGGTGGCAGGAGGTGGGATAGGGAAGAGGCTCCTGGGCTCCCAGAGGGGACAGAGCTGGCTGTGGGTGGAGAGCAGCAGGTCCGTGCAGTGTCTGAGGTCAGGTCGAGAAGGGTAGCAGAAAGGAAGGCAAAGGTCCCAGAGAGGGGAAGGTGGGGAGGAAGAGGCGTTTGCAAGAAGGAGGGCAGGGGAAATGGGAAGAGGACAGGATGAGCCTCCCCAGGGTGGCAGAGCCTAAGGTGAGTGTGAGTGTGAGTGCAAGCAGGCCGTTCCCTCTGCCCCTCCACCTCATCCCCAGGAGCAGCCAGACCCAGGGCACCTGCCAGCAGGGTACGCGGTGGCCTCAGCTGAGGTGCCTGGTATGGGGACTGAACTGTGGGTAAGGGTCAGTCAGTAGTGATAGCCCAGGAGGGGTCCTCCCAGAGTCAGGTCTGGTGTCTGCCTGTCCCTCCTAGGAGCAGGGGCAGAGGGAAGGACCCATCTCACATGGGGCATGGCTCACTTTGGGCCTTCCCTAGCTAGTTTCTTGCCCCCTTCCCTCATAGTGCTACTGCCCCACTGAGGCTTGGCCTTGGGGGAGGGAATGAGGCCTGAATCTGGGGGGCTGGCTACAGGCCTGATCCTTTGTCCTGGGCCTCTAGAGCAGGATGACAAGGCAGGGCTTGCAGTCCACCTCCTCAGGAAGGCTGCTGGGGAAGAGACAGAAGCAAAGTGTGGCCTTCCTCCACTCCACCCACCTTGAGATGAATGTAGCCAAAGGAGGGGAACTGAGGACACCTGGTGCTGAGGTCTTTTCCGCCAGAGTTGCTGCCAGAGACTCCAAGGTGACCAGCAGCACCAAGAGCCACTGCTTCCCCTTGCACCAGTTCCTCTGCACGCCTTCATGGCTGGAACCGCTTCTGGCTCATATGCAAGCAAGGATGATGATTTGTTCAACACACACAGACTGAGCACCTTTTGTGAACCAGGCACTGTTCTAGGTGCTTCGGATCGTCTCGCGCTTCAGAGGGACCACAGACTGGGATAATCCCACCTACTTTCACTTCTCACAGGTTTTTTGGAACATGAAAATGACCCCTGGCTACATCTCCCACCTTCGCAGTTCAAGCACCCCAAATCTGTTCTTTCCCCCTCCACACTGGCAGGTGGGATTGCCTCCCAGGTCACCCCCTCTCTCTCTACCCCCTTTTCCTTTCACAAGAAACAGATTGTTCAGGGCCTTCCATGCCTTCGCCTTTCTTTATCTCTCCTTTTTTAAAGTGAGTATTTTTAGAAATCCACATGTGAAATACTGAGAAAAAACGCTGACACCTCTGCCACCTCTCTCCCTCATGTCATAAAGCCAGCTCCCTGTGTTGCTTTACATGCCTTAATATATGTTTTATGAAGATGATTCATGTTATGGATATCTATGTAATATATTTGTCTGTTTGGGTGTCAGTCCTTTCCTCAGCTCCTGCCTGGGCCCCTTTTCTCTCTACACCATTCCTAGCATGTTGAGGCCATACCCCTTGCCTTTTTAGTCCAAAGAAGGGGAGAGAGAAAAGACTTATTTTAAGACAGGTCTATTTTACGCTTTTGTTTAAAAAGCAAACCTTATTTCAAAATGTGCAGTGTCTGAATGGGATGGGCTAGGGGTGTGACGAGGCTGAGGTGGCAACTGTGGAGTCCCCGGCCTGTGCCGTCCCTCTTGCCCACGACTTTCTGCCTTCTCTGCACAGTCAGTGAAGGGCAGGTCCCCAGGGCTCATGCAGGGAGCATCTTGCCAGGACAGACCTGTCCCTCCAAAGCCCTGCTCCAAGGATTTGGTGACACCGTCAGCTCTGGCTGGCACTGTAGGAGTTGCCAGTAGCTGAGTCCTCTTGGAGGAGGCGTTTACAATCACATGCGCGGAAGGACACTGAGGCAGGCACGTGTCCTCATGGCTCCTGGCCATCTGTGCATGTTGCACTGCTGGAAAGGGAGGAATTTCACGGCAGCCCATGCTAAGCAGCACTGGGGTGTCCTTCTGCTCTCTGCTGGACCTGTGACTTGGTGCACAACCCAGAGGGAGTGGCTTGGGGTCCTCTGTGCTGTCCCTGCTCATAACTTGAGTTCCATGGACTTGTCACACTTGTATTTGGTTCCTCTCTGGTTGGGCTCACACCTATGGTGTCTGGCTTCCCTCTGTGACCTTTCTTTTTGGACCTGTTCTTCTGAAGATGGCACCTCGGTCTGGCATCCAGACCGTGAAGTCGCCTTCTTGGTTGGGAAGGGTCCCTCTGACAATGTAACATCTCAGCTTTGCCCAGGAAACCCCAGGACTTCAACAGGCTGTTTGCTGAGGCACTGAACTATGCCAGCTCAGCCTCTCAACCTGTATTGATCATCAGAGTGAGCAGGGAGGCTCTTGACTTGCAAGGATTTGGGGAGGATAGAAATCTGTCCAAATTTGAAATCAAGAGTTCTGGCCAGCATCTGAAGCCTGACCTCCAGCTCTGGCAATTGCTGGCCCTGTGTCCCCAGCCTAGAGCCTCTTGCTGTGAGTGGACAGGGTCCGGATGGAAGCCCAGGGCCAAGCAGCCCTCCTGTGGAAGGCCTTGGCTGCTCATCTGGACCCTGTCCAGTTATCCCATCACCTCCCTGATCAATAACCAAGAGGCTGTGACTGCGTATTGCTACTGTCACTTTAGAGATGTTCCCAGGTACAAGCTGTGCGCTCCGGCCCCACTGTCTATGTGACAGGCCTGGTTTTCAGGCAGGGCTGACTGCAACAAGATGGGATCACTTCCTTTCCCCTCTACCTGGCAGCTCTTAAAACTAAGGAAAAATATTATATATATAAATATATACATATACATATATCTATTTATGCACATATTGGGGCCAATTTGATTTACTAGAATTAGACAATAAACTATATAAGGAACTTTATGATCTCAGTGTCTTTATTTAGCATAAAAGTGACCTTAGGCGAAGAGTTAAGTTTAGAGAACCAGAGAACTGCTGTAGCATTATCCCCTTAGCGGCCGTCTAGCCAGCAAGCCCCTGGGGTGGGGGGACATCCTGACAGAGGCAGGCAGCACTTGCTCCTTCCTTCTGGGAGTATTTCTTACTCCATTTAGCTAATCCAGATTCCCTGTAAATTCCGTATTTGTATATTGCAAGTTTGTATAAACCCAATCCTAAAAATAAAGTGAATGATTTGTACACATGGTGTGTGTTTTCCCGCTGCGCATCCGTGTCAGCCTCTGGTGGCCCTCCTGGTCCATGGCCATTTAGGGGACTGGCAAGAAAGGGGAGAGAGTTTGAGGAAGCTGCCTGTCTCTGGCTCTACTGCACAGGAATGGCAGAGTTCTGGGAAGAGCACCACCTCCTGGGAGTTGGGGTGATGGTTTACCTCCAACCCCAGGGTCATTGTTTCAATGCAGGTAAACATACCAGCTGGTGGGCATATTGGTGCCTCAGGCTCTGGCTCCTCCCTTAACTTGCTTCTGAGACAAGAGAGTGATAAAGGGAATCCCCAGGCTTTCTCTGTTACTACAAAATGTCCTGCTGCTTTGGGGTATGAGAACATGTATGATTTAGTGGGGAGAGGGTTGCAGAGAGATCACCCCATTTCTCATCCAATCTTGATCCTTAGGGTTTATTTCTCTTGGTGCTATTTAGTGACTATGAGCTACTGGCACTCAGCATGAAGGGCTTTACCAGAACTCAAAAAGCCTAGAATCTTCTGTGGGGTGGATCATGGAGAGAAAAGTGGGCCCAAGGTCATACAGTCCTCAGCTGGGCTTCTACAGGACGGCGAGGCAAAGGATAGTTCAAGACAGAAGAAAACTGGCAAATGGGGAGGCACCATGTTTCAGCTGTAATGGCTGGTGGGGAGTTCTGGATACCTGTTCTCATCTCTAAGGAGATACTAGATACTAGGTGTTCATTGGCTCCAATGTGTTGTGGGGATTCTGCAACATCTTCAGGAGACCTGTAAACTCTGATGTCCTCTGTGAACAGGTCGAGTTGGGACCAGATTTAGGCTCACGCAGACACCTCAAGGCCAGTGTTGGAAAACTGTCATTTTGTGGCACCCACACCTCTGGAGCCCTCATCTGGGCCAGAGTCAGCTTCAGGGGCTTGCAGAGGTGTGCACCGTGGTGTCACAGAAGGACCTGCCAGCAGGTGCCCGTGGGCTCCATCTCCTGGCCAGGATCAACCTCCACCAAGCCAGGCTATTAGGGCGATGCCAGTGAAGCTTCCCTCAGCCTGCCTTGCGGGGGGTGGTGCTGGGGCCAGCGTGATCCGGTATGGTGGGCAGCACAGCCCGAAGGTAGCCAGGTGTCAGGAGCTCCTGCTAGGGCCACGTGGAGGCTCACCTTCCTCACCCTTCTTGCCCTCCTTGCAAGCCGCCAGCATGGAGCTGGGTGCTGCAGTGCTGAGGTGATGGAGAGAAGGTGGCCCGTCGTGCCCAGTGCCTGGCCCTGCTCCTGCGTGAAGGCCTAGACAAGCACTCTGCTTCTTCTATCCTTGTTTTCTCACCTGTGAAAATGGGGACATCAGCACCATCAGTTCAAGAGAGCCAACTGAGAAAATGAATGAAAATCACTCTGAAGACTCAAATACGTTCGCTGTCATAAGGGAGCGCTCACAAGATGTTGGCCAGGTCCCTGGGCCACCTTTGGGGAAGCTTTTCCGAGGCCCCCTCCTCAGCTAGCTCCACAGCCTTCCCTGGAAACCATCGCCTTCTGAACTGGCCTTTTTTTTTTTTTTTTTTTTTTTTTGGCTGAACCGAGAATTGAACTCAGGCCCTTGCACTTGCCAGGCAAATGCTTATTCTACTGAGCTATCTCCCCGGCCCCAGGCCTGGCCACTAGACTGCCAAGAGCCCAGGTCCAGAGTCTGGACTGACATACTTCTTCCTGGGGGTCCCTGTGGAGGGACTTCTCCAGAAGGGTCAGCTGCAGATGAATAGCACAGCACCAGTTTCCAGAGAACTGGGCCTGGGGGACCCAGTTTCAGGAGGGTCCAGCTGTCCCGTGTGCACTGTGGGCTCCATGGCTGGCCATGGACGGTAGGGAGGGGTCCCTAGCCAGCCGCTGCTTTGTTTCTTCTGTGGAAGCGGCTTAGACCAGTTGGAGACGAGAGGAGTCTTGTGTGTAATGTCATATTAACAGTATGCTAATAAGAGCAATATTAACATTGCTATAGTGTTCATTACATGCTTACTTGTTGCCAGGTAGCGGGCTCTTACCAATCCTCACATCTGTGTGACAGGGACTATTCTTATGCAAGAAACAGAGGTGTGGAAAGGTAAATAGAATGGTGCAGGGCTCATGAAGCTGGGGTGAAGCCCGGAGCCCTGACTTCAGGGCCCAAGCTCTCAAGCTGTGGGCTGGTTTCAATGGGAGTCCCACTGGCCCTGAGGGGGCATACTGACAATGCGAGGCAAGGAAAAAATTTTATTGGCATTTAGTGATTCAGTGAACATTTCCAAAATGATTGTCCCATATTCTGTAAAAATGTACAATGTATGAACTGGGATGAAACCCACTGCTTATAAAAAGTGGTCATACTTCATCCTAACACTAAAAATATTTTTAAGCTTTTAAATTGTTTTAGAGGGGCTAGGGAGATGGCTCAGTGGTCTAAAGCACCTACTTAGAACAAGCTTAGCAAAGCACAGGGACCGCGGTTCAATCCCCCAGCACCACATGCCAGCCAGCCCCACCCCCTGGGGCTGAGCTGGCCACACACACACACACACACACTAAAATAAATAAACTTCAATAAATAAATTGTTTTAGAATGAGTTTCATGAATGACTCTGCAGATGAGATGCCTACTGTGGAGAAGAAACTTACAATGCAATGGAGGCATGGTCTAAAATTCCCAAATAATACGCTCCACACACTGGCTGCATGCTGTGTTACATTTCAGCTACTACACATTTGGTAGAAGATACTTCCAACAAGTGGTGGGGTGTTCTACATAAGCAAGGGGCTGGACTCACCTTACTGAACAGGACAGCTAGAAAACCAAAGCCCTTAGAGCAAAGGTATTTTAGGTCAGGCAGGGTGGAAGGAAAAAGAAAGGGGGGGGGAGAGAGAGAAAGAGAGAGAGAGAGAGAGAGAGAGAGAGAGAGAGAGAGAGAGAGAGAGAAAAGAAAGAGAAAAAGAAAAAGAGAAAAAAGGAGAAGAAATGAAGGAGGAAGAGGAGGAGGAGGAGGAGGGAGAGGAGGAGGAGGAAGAGGCTAGGGCAAAGCTTAATGTGAAGGAAAGTTCGGTGCGGAGGCCCTGGACTTAATCCTCAGGGCTGGAAAAAATAAAAAATCAAAATAAAACAAATTAAAGGAAGCAGAGATCTATGAAATGTAAGAGAGCTCATTGGACCTCCTTAATAAGAGCTTTCAGAAATTATTTCATATTCTTGCCATCTGCTATATTTTTAAAGTTTCTGCAGCCCGAGCGTGACCGTGTCTGCCGCAACAGCGGCGTGTGGGTGTTCGGGCAGCGGCCTGTTGCCTTCCCGGCGCTTCCCGGTGGGCCCACGTGCGGCTGCTGCGAACCACCGGTGGTAGCTCTGCGCTTGCCCCATCCGCTCTCTAGCCTCCGTAGGCCTTTGGCAGCCAGATTTTCCCTCCCGATAAGATGGTGTTTCACGGCGGACATCCGTGTGTCTGTGTTCCTGCGTCCAGCCCCCAGGCGAGGCCACAGCACTGGGGAACTTTTGGTGAGGCACAAGCGTGTTAACGCCCAGGGCTGCACACGCCTCGTTGCTCCCGCTGTGCCTTACACACGCACGCGCCGCCCTACTTTCACGAAGGTGACTTCCGTCTCCTGTGAGCACATCTGGTCCGTCTTCGCCTGCCTAACGTTAGTTTCTATTCTAGTGAAGTAGTGTTCACTCCTAGTTTGTCTTCTGGTGCGCATGTGGCTTTGGCTTTTGCACGGAATGGCTCTAGTCTTCTACTTCTCTGAAATTCAGGCTCACTTAGGTAGGTGCACACAGTCAGCCTTCTTCATGTATGTCTTCTGGTAAGCCTTCCCTGAGCTTTTATCTATTGAGAATCATCATGTTTCATTATAAATTATTCCTGTGTTATTCTTCAGTAGTTTGCTTTATTTGAGGTTTTAAATGATGCATGGGGGTGGTCATAGGATCAGTAAACGTCATTTCTGGTTAAGGAGCACATTTTTATTTTATTTTTTTCCTTTTTCTTTCTTCTTTATTTATTTGACAACTCATACAGAATTTCACTTAACAAAGTAATATGAATTTCACAGTATTTGTTGTAATACATGGTATTGTCTTACAACCAGCTATTCATATTACCAGATATATACACATAAAATTGGAAGAAGAAAAAACTGGAGCAATGTATAAGAAATTAAGAAAAGAAAAAGTACAAACAATTGGAAAAAAAAGAGACGAAGCTAATTAGAGCATTGACCGCTTCTTTCCATTTCCATTTTTTAAAATTTTATTTATTTATTTATTTATTTATTGTCCTGTCAGAGGTGAATATTCTATTGGCATCTAAATACTATAAGTGTTTGAATTCAACTAAACATCTAACACTGTCTAGCAGTCTATAATATTAGTGGGTTATCCTCAGAAGTTATTGACTTGAGCCTTTTACAGCTCATCGTATTAATATGGCTTTACTTTATATACCTCGTTTTTATGCGTTTCTGCTGGATGATTAAGACCAAGATAAAGCAAGACCTATATACCCAGAAGTCTAACTTTTGTATCTGATAAGGTCAGCCAAGTAATCTCAGGATTTATGAGGATGAGTCACGGCCATTGCTTGACTAATTTGCTCTCTGTGAAAGCTTGAGAAAATGTTTTTTCTCTCCATGTGACTCTCCCCAGACTCACTTTAGATCCTCGAACACATTCCTCTGTGGCTCCTTAATCTTCTTGATCAGAAAGTTTGGAGCACAACTGAGTTACATGTTGTTACACTACAGGTCCTCCTATGTCCCGAGTCTTCACTGACCTTGAAAGGCTAGGGCCAAAATGTTGGCTAACCATGCAGCCCTTCCTTTTCAAGGAGCACATTTTAAAGGGGAGGTTGGCAGTGGTCTGCGATGGAGAACAGTTCCCCAGAAACTCCGAGCCCCTCCCTTCCGCAGCTCGCAAAAGGAAGGGTGCAGCCAGATCCTCACAGCTGCCAGGTGGACTAGAACTTGGCCTCCTGGATTGTTTAGCCCCCACCCCCAGCCCACATTCAGGGCTTGCTTCTGTAGCTCAACCTCATGATTCAAAGCTGGGAGAAAGGAGCCTGCATCGCTTGAGGTCTAGCTCCCTTATGGCACATTTGCTTTGGTTTACCCAAATCTGGCTCTTCCGTGATGGCTGCAACAGGTTTCACTCAGTTGTTTGTCGCCCCCTCGCGTCTAGAATGTGTACTGCACAAAGCGAAGCCAAACAAAACAACCAAAAACTTTTAAAATGAATTTAGTCCATGTCCAAGGAGATCTAGGGAGTCCAAGTTTCCCACATATTCTACAAAAACAAACAAGGATCTCGACACACAGAACCTATTTCTTTCACCTACAACCCAGGTTTTATAGAGGAGACAAGAGTTGTATGAGGAAAGGCCATGCAAGGGTCCCGGGGCAGCGGCCCTTGGGGACAGCCACAGCAGGGAGCCTGCGTCTTTAAGCGGCGGAGCAGGAGTGTGGGCAGTGTGAGGGGTGGGGGTTAATGATTTACAGGCACCTCCCTCTGCAATTATCAAGGGTCAGCTTCACCGGAGCATGCACAGGCTCGGTCCTCCGGGCCCTGGACTCCAGCCAGCCGACCGGAAAGGCCCCCCAGGCGGCCCGCAGCATGATCTCCATCAGCGAGGGCCAGAGTGAGTGGCGTGGCAGCAGCCACAGCAGCAAGACGGGCTGGAGGGGCTCCCGGTCGAGGTGGGGCAGAGTACGCCCCTCCTGGCCAGCGTCTTCCGGGGAACCTACAAAGTGTGACCTCTGGAGCCACTGATCAGGCTGCCGTGTTGGCATCTCCGAGGCAGCAGGGCCAGGCGGGTGTGGCCCTGCCTTGCAGGTGCACAGGCAGCCTGAGGCTGAGGCCTAGGAAACCCCTCCAAACAGGGTCCGAGCTGGGATGCAGCACAGGCGAACTCAGGAGGCCTCTGCCTAGTTCGCTATCTTTCCCCGCAAATCTTTAAGCCCAGGGTTTCTTAGTGGAAACTGCTCCACTGGGCTGCACCAGCCCTGGCATCCTCGCTTAGGAAGATCCTTTCCTTTCCTGGGGGGGGGGGGCAGGGCCCACAGACCATGCAGAGTGGGATGGGGCTCTGAGGGCTTCCATGAGTGAATTAAAGCCCTTCAGCCTAACTTCCTCCCCTGCTCACTGAACATAGCTATCTCTCCCAGGTGCCAAACACAGTGCTGGGCATAGAGTAGATGACATAGATAGAGACGGATTCCCTGCTGACACAGAGAGGGGAGGACATCTGTAGGAAGTGAGAGGCAAAGCCATGGGGTTGTCTGGGAAGAGGGAACCTGTTCTGAGAAGAGGAGGCTGCCTGTGCAAAGGCCCAGACTGAGGCATTAGCACATGCGGTGTCTGGAACCCAAGGAGACTGATGTGGATGGAGCAACATCGGCAAAGGGGGGACTCAGGGTCAGGAAGGCCACCAAGGGGCCAGACCATGGACCCTAGGAAGACCTGGCTCTACATGATGGGAAACCACAGGAGGTCCTGGCCTGTGGAGTGATAGGTGCCATGCAGGTATGGGTAGAGATCTAGACAGATGTAGATCCCAGAGATACAGATATGGATCTCTCTGGACTCCAGGTTAAGAGGCAACCAGAGAGGAATAAGGGCAGCAACAAGAAGAGGCTGTTCCGCATTGAAAGCAGGTACAGGAGACCTCCATGCTAGCTCTGTAGTGAGGAATTTGCTGGTGGGCTGGATGCAGCACCTGGGGGAAGGAAGAGTCAGGAATGCCTGCAGGGCTTTTGGCCTCCTGGAGTTGGCAGGTTGAGGATGGGCTGAGAGTGGTGTGCATGATGGGCATGTTGAGTGTCTGTGCGCCTGGCATCCAGGTAAAGTATTGGGCAGGAAGCCCGCCCAGAGCCCCACAGAGAGCACTGGCTGCAGGGAGAGGCAGGGGCTGCCAGCGAACCACGTGCTTCAGGGTCACCAAGGTCCTGGGCCAGCGTCTAAGCCTTCCTGCTCCTGATGTTTTAGGGCTGGAGGTGTGTACGCTGCACCCATAGACCAGTGTGAAGCCAAGCTGCGTTACTAGACACGTGGGAAGCCACTGGTGAGATAGTTTCAAGATCCCTGAGTGCCGTGTGGAGAAGGACTAGGAGGCAGGTGGGAGACTCCGTGGGATTGCTGCAGCAGTCCATGAAGGGGGCAGAGGTGGCAGGAAGCTAAGGCTAAGAGGGCCAGATGCACTCAGCTTTCAGGATACATTTTGGAAGAAGCAGCAATAGAGTTTTGTGGAGTGGGTGTGGTATGCATGCCTATAATCCCAGCCCTCTGGGAGGCTGAGACAGGAGGGTTGCAAATTCGAGCCCAGCCTCCACAGTTTAGTGACTTAGTGAGACTGTGTCTAAAATTTTAGACTGTGTCTAAAATTTTAAAAAAGGCTGAGGATGGAGCTCAGGGTGGAGGCCCTGGGAGAAGGAGGAGCTGGCAAAAGGCTCCATCCAGCAAGCAGTCAGTCAGGCATCAGCTGCATATTGAACTGGAGAGGTGTGGCTCTTGCTTCTGCTGAGGCAGCTGGGCAGCGCTGGGGCCACGTCCACTCACTGGAGGAGACCAGGGGAGGCAGAGGCTGAAGCAAGGAACTTAATCGCTGTAGGACCTGTGGAAAGCAAAGTGCCTGAGAAAACCCAAGCCCATGTGCTGAGGAGCAGCACAGAGTGAGTTTCAGGGCTCAAGAAAGATTTGAACTAGAAGGACAAGCCCCAGCGCTGCCAGCACACGTGAGAGCTAAGGGCAGACGAGAGTGGCAGAAACAAATGAGAAGCAAGGAAGCTGAGTCCCGAGTGGCTCACACCCCGCGAGGAAGGAGAGAAGCAGGAGCTGGCAAAAGGAACAGAAAAAAATGGGTGGGCAGCAGGGAACAACCCCGGAGTGCAGTGTCAAGGAAGCAAGAGGGGATGGCGCAGCCACGCAGTGGCCAGCCACTGACCATGGACTGACACCTGTCCCGTGGACCACAGAACATGGAGGTCACTGATGGCTAAAACAAGAGCACTTTCTGGGGAAGTGGGCTAGACTGGCTGGCTCTTTCCAGAGCCAGGCAACTGCTTTCAAACCCTGCTTTTCTGGCTGCTGGCTGGGTAGCCGCTGGCAGGCAGTTAAGCCTCTGGGGCTTTCAGATTAGTTTGTGCAGCGGTCTGAGCAGTGGTCCCTGCCCAAGAGGTTACAACCAGACAGGTGCTGTGTGAACAGCAGCTACAGTCTCCACTGGGAATGGTGCCTGCTCCTCGCTCCCTCCTCTCTCCTCCTGCTTCCAGGAAATTCATCCTGAAAGTCACGCCAGGGAACACAAATGCAGTGCCTAGAGAGGGGTGCAGGCCCAGCAGTGAGAGCAGCGCTCATGTGGGGGGCCCGTGCAGGGGACACAGCCAAGGCGGGCTGGGGGAAGGGAGGCACTCCATGGTGGAGGGGCTCCAGACCTGCCCATGAGGAATGTGACGTCACTCCCAGGGCACAAAGAGAAGACTCCCAACAGCAGCTCTGGTGGATAGTTCTTTCTAAGATGCATAACTAGAGCATAGTCATGGAGAAGCATCAGAAAAACCCAAAAGGGAAGGATGAGTGGCTAAAAATCACTGGCTTGAAGAATCTTCCAAAGGGTCAAGAGGGTGGCAAGAAAAGATGGTGGGAGGAACTGCTCCAGACAGAAGAGACTGCGGGAGGACAGTGGCCCACACCTCTAGTCCCAGCACGCTGGAAAGCCGAGGCAGGAGGATGACAAGTTTGAGCCCAGCCTGGGCAACTTAGCAACTTAGTGACACTTGGCCTCAAAACAAAAAGGGACTGAGGATGTAGTTGAGTGTAAAGGTCCTGGGTTCAGCCCCCAGCAATACACACACACACACACACACACACACACACACACCCCAGGAGAGGGCAAAGCCACATGGGATGATGAGGTGCGCACTTTTCCACTTAATAAGTGATATTACGGGGTACCTGGGGAGCTGTGGATGGGCTTGAAGGCTAGGCCGCAGGTCTGTGTTGTGGTAATTTCCAGACTTTGATGGCTGCATCTTGGCTGTCTGGGAACATAAAGGAAAGCCACACCGAAGTATTCAGAAGGGGATGAGACATTGGACAGCAAGCACTCTCACACGGGTCATGCAAAAGGGTCTCTGGTGTGTACTTGCGGCTTTCCTGAACATTTGTGGTTGTTAGAGAAAGAGAGGCATTTGGAGGATTCCTTGTACCCGCTTTGGCCCATCGGCCTCTCTTTGGAGATACTGTGACAGGCAGGCGGTAGGGATGTAGCTCAGTATGAAGGCCTTGACATCAATCCCTGGTGTTGAAAAAAAAAAGTATGACCCTGGACTCTTTTGGGCAGCAGCTTGAGAGCCCCAGGACAGAGTGTGAAGTGTGAGGCGGTCTGGTGGTCTCCTGATGCTCCTGGGAAGCACCAGGGACTCAGGCTTCCCCCACCGGCTCATACGGCAAGTGGCAGCCCTGGACGCATCCAGCAGGGGGCGCGCTTCCCCGATGGGGATTGGAGCGGCAGCAGCTGCTTGCCGGCTCGCCCTCTGCAGCCCCTGCGCGGCAGAGGCTCCGACTGAAACCGAGCAATAACCTGGGCCCCTAAGCCCCTCCAGAGATGGGATTTGGAAGGTCTGAAGCCTGTGTGTGAGAAACAGTTTGTGGCCTTTTTACGGGGGCAAGGGCTGCTTGCTTTTATGTCTGTGTTGTTTTCTGCGGGACTGAGGATTCTACCCAGGGCGCCACGCATATGAGGCAAGCGCTGCACCCCAGCCCCTTCCCTTCTTGTGGGTTTTGGTGCTGGAGGCAGTAAGTGTGACCCTTTAAAAAAGCTGCCCCCAGCCCAAGAAAGTTCTAGAAGGACACCAGCCCATGAGGTATTGTGTGGAACAGTAAGGGCAGTTGCAGGAGATCCTATAATACAGAAGACAATGTGGGGTTTTTAAACAAAAAACAATTAATTAAAATAGTTGACTTGGGGGCATCTGCAGTGGTGACTTTGGCCTCACACCTGGCGCAGCACTGACAGGAGGAATCAGCTTCGCCACCTCAGACCACAGGAGTCAGTCAAGGGAGCCTTCTCCACAGAGACTTTTCCAGTGATTCTCACACTCTTGGTGGGGGCCAAACTGTTCATTCAGACTTTTCATCTGTGCCTTGGGACAAGGTGTCACACATCTTTGCCAGGGTTTCCTTTTCTTTTTCTTTTTCTTTTTTTTTTTTTTTTTACTATTTTTTCTTTCAGTACTGGGAATCGAACTCTAGGCCTTGCACTTGCTAGGCGGGCGCTGCGTCCCTGAGCTACATCCCCAGTCCAGTCAGTGTTGCCTATTGCGGCTGGAAAGGGTCCTTCCAGCTCTGTGAGGCACTGCTTCCGCCTGCTTCCACTGGCGTCTTCCTGTGCCTTCCAGAGCCGGGTCCGCAGCGTGGCTCGCTGACCAGCCACTTTTCCTATTGAGGCCTGCGCAGGAGAGGACAGGTCCAAGACCACAGCATCTGCTGCCATGACTTCCTCAAAGAGCTGCACAGAGTGTGGAGCCGAGAAACTCATGCTATTTCTACAAATGAGGAGGAGACTGTTTCGCAGAGTGCACAGGATGGACGAATGGATCTTTTAACAAAACAAAATGTGCTCAATAAAATGTTCCCATCTTGTCTCCACATGAAGACGTCTGTGAAGAGAGACAAAGGGAAAGGTATACAGGAGAACTGAGATCTTGACAAACATGAACGGCAGGGAGAAGATGAAAAGAGACCTTTTTCTATGAAGTGTAAAATATAAACAACATTTACCATTCAGGTGAAAGAGAGGCAGTTGTGGCCTTTCTCCCAAATGTCATGACAGCTAAAGCGGATGTGTGGCTAGGTCTTCAACTTACCACCTCTGAGGAGAGGGACACCGTGGGATATGGAAAGACAGAGCACAGCCCGAAAGGACCGCCGGGACCGTGCTCTGCCCAGCTGTCACGTGCTGAGAGCGTTCGCTCAGGAAAGCATCACCAGGCAGCAGAAGCAGGAAACATGGCTATACGGTGGCAAAGAATTGTCAGGAACAGGAGGAATCGGCCATCAGTGGAAAACAGACTCAGAGGGCACTGGTGTCTATTGCCAGAAACAACACTACGTTGGACCTTAACAAAAGCCAGCTTCTGCCAAAAGTGAGGCCCCAAGACTGGCATTTTACTGGGCCATGAATTGTGTGGTGCGTCAGTCTGTAATTTGTTATTTTTTTAATTTTTTTTTAATTTTTTAATTATTTATTTATTCATTTATTTTTGTGTGTGTGGCCAGCTCAGCCCATCAGGGGGCGGGGCTGGCTGGCATGTGGTGCTGGAGGATTGAACCGCAGTCCCTGTGCTTTGGTTAGTTTAGATTGTTCTAAGTAGGTGCTGTAGACCACTGAGCCTCTCAGCTGTGTGTTTTTCATGATTCTCTTACAGAAGACCTTTGACTTTATTTCTTATCCTGGAGTTGATTTTAATCCTTTCAACATCTGTTTGGTAACTGATTATAAAGGATTAAGGCAATTGTGTCCTCTTCTGTCAGTTGTAAATTTAACTTAGCCAGTATCCTAGCCTTGTTTTATTTCTACAGTCATGCCTCTAAGCAACCAGAATAATTTTCTCCCTCACTTTTTTTCCCCTGACAGGGTCTCAATATGCAGTTCAGACTGGCCTCATGCTCACTTTGTAGCCCAGGCTGACTGTGAATTGATCCTCCTGCTTCAGCCTCCCAAACTGGGATTACAGGGTCATGCGCCACCACACCTGCTCTCCCTCGCTTTTAACAGCCATCTTTAAAATTGTGGTAATGATACCAATTTCATAGAGGTTGTGGGGATTAATCCCAAAATGATAGTTAATGAGTTCAAGAATATATTCAACAAAGGTGTCATGGCTATTCAGTGGAGGAGAGAACAAGGGCGTGGATGGTGGCCCAAAAGCTGGATATCCACATGCATGAGAATGAAGTTGGACCATTACCTGAAACCATCTGCAAAAAACAGCTCAAAATGTGTCAAAGACCAACACATAAGGAGTAAAGCTATGAAAGTCTTAGGGAAAAAAATATAGAGAAAAGCTTCATGACACTGAATTTAGCAATGATTTCTTGGCTCTGACACCAAAAGCACAGGCAACAAAAGAGAAAAGATCAAACTATAGTACATGAAAATTAAAAACTCCTGTGCCTCAAAGGATGCCAACCTGTGGAACAGGAAAAAATATTTGGAAATCATATATCAGATAGGGGATTAATACCTAGAATACATAAAGAACATATATAACTCAACAATAAGGAAAAGAATAACCCAATTTAAAAGAGGGCCCAGGACTTGAATAGACACATCTCTAAAAAAAAGTACCCAAACAGCCAATAAACACAGGAAGTGCTGTTCAGTGCCACCAATGATTAAGAAAATGCCATTCAGAACTGTATGGGAAAGCCAGGAGTGGTGGTACACGACTGTAATCCCAGTACTCATAAGGCTGAGGCAGGAGGATTGCTGCAAGTTTAAAGCCAGCCTGGACTACAAAGTGAGTTTAAGTCCAGCCTGAACTGCATAGTGAAACTGTGTCGCAAAGAAGACCAGAAAGAAAGAATAAATGAATGAAAGGAAGGAAGGAAGAAAAAAAGAAAAGGAAGTTTTGACACATGGAACAACATAAAGGAGTCAGAGAACATTATAACAATGATAACAATAATAAAAATCCGGGCTCAAAGGCAATATTGTACAATTGCACTTGTACAAGATTCCTAGAGTTGTCAAATTCATAAAGACAAAAAGAATGGTGGTTGTAGGAAGCTGAAAGAAAAAGGATAGGTGATAACAAGTTTAGTGAGTACACAGCCTCACTTCTACAAAATGAAAAAATTCCTGGAGATGGATGCTTCTGATGTTTGCCCAGCACTGGGAGTGCGCTTGACACTTGGGATTGGTCCCTTTAAACCTGGATAAAATGTAAGTTTTAGGTTGTATGCATTTTCTTTCTCTTTTCTTTCTTCTTCTTCTTCTTCTTCTTCTTCTTCTTCTTCTTCTTCTTCTTCTTTTTTTTTTTTTTT